TCCATCCATCCATCTAAACTTTCGCATTTATAATATTAGTAAGAAGTAAGATTGAAAATATACAAATTGAACGAAAACCGTGAATTTGCTCTGCTTTTACACATGTACAGTAGCGGTAATCCGCAGTTTCCACTTCAGGAAAATTGCCTTGTTTATTACAAGACAAACTCTGCTTACAAATAACTAATTATATATCAGTGGATGGTTCAAACGAAGGGATAATAATTAAAGAAACTAACCGTGTGTCACTAATTTATTAGTACAGAAACATTTATAAGCTGCGCTGTATTGGTTTTTGACACAAAATTATTTAATTATTATTATTTCATATCTCGTTTCATAATGTTCAAACGTTCAAAGCTTTTAAGGTGGAACGCTGCTATCATTATTATTTATTGAAAATTTTACAAAAAAACACAAATTAAATAAACATACAAATATGGCCCCGCAAAAAATATAAGACTGGTTTTTCCGCGTGTTCTAGTTTACCCGACTGTGCAAGCATATGTTGTTATTGCTGTTTTTTTCAAAAAGAGTGACAGAGATGGCATTATATTTGTTTAGGCGTTTCGTCAATGGACACATTTTACGCGTGCTCAATGACCCGCCATTTGAATGCAAACTATTGATGATCAGCAATTCATTAGGAGCATATTTGCTTTATGCAAACATCCCAGCGTCAAATGTTTGTCATTCTGTACGTATGCGTTAGATAAACCCTATCAGAATATCATTGTCCCCTAACACTGTTAATTACATACTTCGGTGAATAAACATTTGTTGGTTAAACGTTCACATTAATTTTAACTAGCTTGTGCACGCGACGTCGTCCGGTTTCAAACAAAACTATACGCCTTTTTCAAAAATATATTATATTTCTAAATCCCTCTCTATTGTTTTATGCGCATACATATTTTTTTCTGCATTAAAAATATCGTCTTGATCGTTCTTAATGTCGAAAATTAAATTCCGTTCAATCCTTTGGTTGTGGTCAAAGTTGTGATTACATGTTTTTTACATCTTCTACAAATACAATAAAATTGTAGTGTCTGTGTGTATTATCAAAAGAAAAATTCCTGATTTCGGGAAAATTATTTTGTTCGTTGCTGATAACGGAAATCGCATTTAAAAATTTTTCGTCTGTCTGTCTCTATCCGCAAGCCGCGTTTGTTTCGTATAATTGCCGAAACGACTGTGCCGAGTTCGACCGGACTCTCACAGAAGGGTAGCTGACATAGACGGGCATATTATATGCTACTTTTTTATCTTAATAATGCGTAGACGAAGTCGCGGGCCAGCTAGGTGATAGTATAATTCTATCAGTATTTATACTAACTTCTTTCGATAAACATAGTATTTACTAACTTGAATTTGTTTATATTTAAATTCATTATAATACCGAAACGCCGTAAGCGTAGGTTTTTAATAATTATTGTATAAAAATATTTTTTCCTGCTGTTTTCGATGCCCACGATACATGCATTGCCTAGTGTGGGCATCACTAGATCAATCGCATTTTATCCACTATTTGTATTTATCTTTTAATTGGTTATAACTTTTATTGTTAATTGTTAATCTTTTATTTTTCAATAAATTATTTCAATTTCAATTTTATTATTTCATCAAAGGGCTTGAAGAAGCTAGATTATTCGTCTGTCAGACATTTTCATTGTAGCCTTCATCGATGTCGCAAAACTTTCCAACGAGCAATTTTAGGACAATTTTCCTGCAAACTTCTCATCGAATATTCAATGCAGTTTGTTAAAACTTTATCGCCTGAACTGTAAACTGAACGCGGCAATTAACTTGTTAAATTACAACCTTTAACTCTAAAGTTAAAAAAAATGCACAGACACACACATTTTTTCATTGTATCTTATTAATTTACAAATAGACTGAATAATACAGTATATGTAATGTTTTATTTATATATGTATGTAATTCTACACAAAAAAAAACCAGCGCACCCGCGGACAAACCAATTATATGGTTTTTGCGGGGCTATATTTGTGCATATTTTTTAATTTGTGTCATGTAATATTTTCAATAAATAATAAATAATAATAATAATTAATAAATACAACTAACAAACGAAGCTGTTGCCCTCGACTTCGTCCACACAATATTAAGATAAAAAAGTAGCATATAATATGCACCTCTGTCAGCTACCCTTCACTTAAAGTCCGGTTAAAATCGGCAAAGCCGTTTCGGTGATTACAGACAGGCAGACAGACAAAAATTTTTAAATGCGATTTTCGTTATCAGCAACGCAAATACATCTTCCTAAAATCTGGAATTTTTCTTATGATATTACAGACATTCCAATTTTATTACATGTATAGATAGACTAGCTTTTGTCCGTGACTCCGTCCACGTGGAATTGAAAAAAACTGAATAGCCAATGTGTTCTTCCAGATTATCCTCTACATCTATGCCAAATTTCATAGAAATTGGTTCAGGCGTTTAGGCTACAAGCTCTAACAGACATCCATCTATCCATCCATCGATCCATCTTAAACAGGAATCCTAGTTAAGTAGTCAAAGCAACACTGATTTATGTAATTATCATTAGTGAGCAATAAAGATATTCTTATCTAAACTTTTGCATTTATAATATTAACGTATGATTATTACTTTCTCTAAGGGGGGGAGGCGCACCCCTCTCTCCTCTTGGCGACGCCCATAATACAACAAATCCAGGTTGTTGTTTTACAATACATTATGCATGCATGCTAATTACGCACCGTGAGTACTGCAAAATGCATTTTCCTATTGCATTTGAAATTAATAATGTTTATGTTGGCTGTTATACGCATTTCGTAAACCCATTTTTATCTAACGGCGCGAATTTGCAGCTAGTATCCTAGCTATTCGCTTTTCTGTGCGTAACAAGCGTTAACATACGGTTGCTTAGCTGATTGCTGTAAATGGATCGTGCAAATTGGATTTTCCAATGCATTTAAAGACATGAATAATGGCTGGTTAACCTACCTTACTTAGTCATTTAGCGATCATTTGAGAACTTCATATAGGTAGTAAGATCAAATTAAATCAGCACTAAGGTACGTCTTTAGTGACCTAAAACAATCGTGTGCATGTAAGTAGATTTTTGCATTAAGTTTTTTTTTATTACGTAACACCATGATTTCTATGAATTTATAAACAAGATGAGACGTGTAAGCTAGATTCTTATCCTATATTATTAGTAACAATTTGTATCGACGCATATTGCCCTCGGGACGTTGTCCAAGTTTCGAAGGAGCAATTTCGAAACAATTTTCCATCAAATTTCCCAACTGACAAGCATTGCATCCTGTATAGATATATAATTTCATATAGTAAAATGACTTTATATCGTAAAGTTTTCTCAAGGACATATAAAAATGTTAAAAATAATTGTGCATAAAATTAATACTAGAAACTATCCGTAATTATTTATATTATCAAGAATATTCTAACATAGAGCAGTGTAAACGTATATAAGCTATGTGACTACATAGGTGACACGTCGCAATATCCGTTTGATAAGCCTGCGAGATGAGTCCCATTGAAATGCTGCTGGAGTGACGTGGCATGTGACAGGTAGCGCGCCCCCACAACGTGCAATATTAACTACATCCATTACACTGGTTTACTACCTTTGTGTACGTCAAATAATAATATCAATAACCTTTTTATTTTGTATGCAGATGTCGCCGTGAAACAGGAATTGGAATAGTATTGCAAGTGATGAACGCGTTTTTGCTCGACTTGGATTTCAATGACGACGAATCCTCATTTATGGAGAGACATTAGAAAACGCGCACATACAAGATGTTGTAGCGATTAAAGTTGTGTTACGCACCGTAGTTCAGATCCTGCAAGAATGACTTAGAGATAACCTCTCTGTCTTCCTTAATAGTTTTAAGATAACTTGATTTTGTAGTTTTACACTATAAGTTGACAAACAAGGAAGCAACCTTAATTCACCAAGATGACCACTGTCCACAGACATCCGTATTTGCAGTTCGTTGCCTTTAATAAATTGCAAAACAGACGTTATCCTAAGCTTAATAAACAAAAGCTTTTCTAAAACGACTGTAATGCGTTTCTAGAACAAATTATTTACTTTGTCGAGTATAATGGCTAAAGTTGGAACAGAGCCAAGAAGGATTTACTGTGATTTTATTATCTTACTTGATACACTTTCGTGAGTTAAGAACTAATCGCATAATTTACAAACAGCTTGTTCTTTAGATAGCCAAAAATTGTTAAAGCCATGTTTAAAATTTCATACAAATAGCTTGGTAAAAAATATAATTTAAACCATCTGATTTGAAACTCAAAATTAATAAATCAATTTGTAATTATTGTCGCTGTTAATCCATGAATACAAGATTTAATTAAATATCGTGTATTTTCATGTGTGCAGAAGGTTTTACAAATAACATGACGGATAACGTGGGCAAGGCTTGACGTGACATGAAATACGTTTGCTGATTATGCACAAATCCCTGACGCTAATTACACTCTGCATTTGTTGTCATTAATACCCATTGCTGTTAAAATGTGTGTTTACACAATGTCGATATTTAATTTAAGAAATTGTAAATAAATGCTTTGCTTTTTAATTGGCAGGAATAAGTGCAAATATAACAAACATCACTTTAAGAGTCTAAACTTATTTATTAACAAAAATGGTTTATCCATCACGCCGTAGATAACTTCTGCAAAATAACCAAAGCAAAAACATTTTTCTGTAACTATAAGTTTTCTTTTAACTCTTTTGAGTTTTTACTTTGTAGTAAAAGTAACAGACAAAGCACCCTTTAAAATCTTTTTGATAATATTTTGACTTTGGAATTGGAAAGTATTTTACACAGAGATATGAATTACTTGTGAAGGCACGAAATGTTTTAATTCGTTAATTGGAACTTTATTTCTTAAAAAAGTAAAGTAAAATATTAGGTGAAAACCAAATTATGGAAAGAAGCTTATTTTAAAAAAGAGAAAACGATAGTGGCAGAATCGTAAAGCGTAGAAGTTATATTCTCTTTGGCAGAATCACTGAAGATTTTTGCCAAAATGAATCTCAACTTCAAAAGTCAATTTGACATTGACACAAGATCTTTATTTAGAAAATACGTAAACACATAAAAAAATCTAATTTAAAACGAAATTTATAAATGCTAACTTAAAATCGTCAATTAGAATGCGAGATAATAACGAAAGTTGTCATAGTATATAATTTCAAATAGTTAAGGCATTATAATTTAGAGCAATGGCGTTGTGTTTACAACCTAAAAAATTATTGCGTTATTCCCTAATGAAAACTCGAACTTATTGTGATAATAAATCAATTTATCAACGAAATGAAGAAGGAATACAACCTCGTACTGTACACGGGAAACCTTACCCAGAATGGCGAAAGCCTTGGATTCAACGAGATGGTGAATGGACTTCCAAATTATCGCTTTTCGTAGAAAAAAATCCAAGCATGAACATATTGCACGCTATGAGCAATGTACCTAATTTATCAATTAAAAAAGTAAAGGATTGGTGGGCTGATATGAAGGAAATTCAAGAGATACAAAATCAGATATATTTGCCCGAAAGAACAGCTGCTTTGGGCGCCAATTTAGCTGCGATACACTTTTTCACACATCGCAACGCAGCAGTTAGGTAAGTTTTACACAAACTAGTGGTGGATGAAAAAATCATGGCATAATCCACGTTTACTAATGTCTACTTTACTTTCCAGGTTAAAAGGTTCAACACCATGGATTGTTGGTGATATTACATCATTAAATTTACCAGACCGTTATGTTGATGGATATTTTGTTGAAGCAGTTGATTGTACAAATTTTCACCACAATGGAATCCGATATGAGGGATTGAAAAATTTATCAGGTCTTAATTACTTGAAATGGCTATGCCTTAGTAATAATAAGCACATAGATGTATGGTGTCTTGACAGAATAGCTGGTCAAAATGGTAGAACATTAGAATATCTTGATGTAACTGGTCATCAGTTAAGCCTAGGTTCAGTTATTGCTTTTTCCAAGATGTCGGCACTTAAATTACTTACCATATCTGATCCAGGTGACAACATTGAAGTGCAAACCGCTTTATCTATACTTGAAGAAGAGAGACCTGAATTAGTAATAAAAATAGCAGATTGATGTTAAGTTTATAATTATCCTTAGTACAATAAAATGAAATTGATAGCCATTTTGTATTTATTTATACCCATCTAATTTCATAAGTGATCAAACAGTGACATTCAAATACTGAAACGAATCCTTGCTTTTCTAAGCCACTTTAATGAAAGTATGAGTTCAAGCATAGTCTACAATATTTTAGTCATCATCCACTTGCCCTTATTCCTTACAGAGGGTCGGCACAGTATGTCCTGCGCTTCCATACGTCTCTATCAGCCGTCATATCTGAATCCACTCCTTTCTTAAGCGTATCATCTTTAACACAATCAATCCATACTTTCTTCGATCTTCCTCTACCTTTGTAGCCATCCACATTCAATCTTAACACTTTCTGGTTAGCACAATATGTACAATATCTTTAGTATTTGACTGTAAATCACCATATATTAACACAACCTATAAAAATACTGGGTGATGCCAGAAAATGTATAGATCTTTAATGATTAATTGGTAGGTAAAATATTAGTTTGATAATGAAGAAAAATAAAACACAAACTATTTTTCGATGATTTTTTATGTTTAACATAAGTTGGTACAATGTTCCAATATGTTTGAACAATGTTCGGAGTGAGGGGTCGGCAGCGCGGTACATTCCATTACAATGTCTTAGTTCAAGTTAGAGTGCTACTTATTGGTCCATTAGTTGGATTCACATTTAAATCGGAAAGTTGAAATTGATACACCATCAATTATTCTGTTACCATTGTCGCATTAATTTTACATCAAAAATTGAACACTTAACACTAAATAAACCATCTAAATTTGATATTTACATTTACGGCACTTTCACTAAATTAGACTAATGCCTTATTTAGAAGGAAATAAATAACGAATATGAAATGCTTCATTTAAAATGTCCTTTTCGAACTAATTGCTAATATTTCTTAAAATATAACATTGTAACTTAAGTGAAACAAATGTTATTTCAGTCTAAAGAGTACTGCTTATTACTGATTGTTCATTGACTTTCAAACTTAACTATAACTTAAAATAACCGTGGGTTACCACTGATGCAGAAATCGCGAGTAAAACATACATTAAGATGTGAGAGTCAATAAGGCACAAGTAATACGCAGTAATAGAATTTTCATATTTGTTATTATTACTAGCACTCAAAAGATTCAATCGTACAACAAAACTTAAAACAAATGGACGCTATCAAAGCAAGACGAAATAATCCATTGACAAGAGAAATTATTATTTTACAAAGTGTTATAAAGCACCTTTATCCAATAAGTGTTATTTTTATGCAAATAAAAAGATATTTCGAACTTAAATAGAGCGGATTTGCTGTTTGTTAAACTGTCTTATTTCAAAGTTCATGTTAAATTGCATTTATCTAACTCCTGTTACACAATTTGTGGGATTGCAACTATTCAATCGAAAAATATTTATTTTACATTAAAATTCACTGTGAAAACTCCATGATAACACGTCCATAATAAGTCTATAATTTTTTAACACAAATCATAGACAAAGAGAAAGCAATGCCTATAGCATACTACGTAATGAAATATAACCTTCAATGTCATGAAACAGTTGAATTGTGCCGAAAAACAGAAAAATATAAGCAAAACCGAACTGACAAGTTTGACAGTTATGCCTGCAAACATCACTTTTAAGTTGTCAGTTCTGTAGCCGAGTTAAGTGTTTTATTCGATTTAAAAATGTATAAACGTGAAAGGATTATTACTAATTGGTAACAACAGTTATGTTCTTGCTATCTAGGGTACCACAACAATTATTGACCAATTGACTACAAAGTTAGAGGGAGACTCTCGAGAATTTTATAACCATAGAAAATGATGAATATGAACCATAAACATTTTTCTAATTTACAGGTACTTGTATTTGAACGATTGTTCTTTTGGCGGGAAAACTTAAAGGAATTCTTTTATAACGTTGCGCTTACTTTCTTGGAAAATATTTCACAAATATGGAAATGACACGAGACGGACATTTTTTGGTTATAAATTATTTTCATAATTAATAAAAAGGTTAAAGAATTTTCGAGAGACCTCTCTTTATTTGGTATTAGACCATCTACACAACTATCAAAGATTGTAACAGTGCGAAAATATCTTCTTATACATATTATTTTATTAATAAATTCATTTTTAATTCCAGACTCCTAAAGCAATTTATCTAAACGCCAAAGAGATCATTTTGAAAAAATATCAATTTTGATATACATATATAAATATTTATTGGCCAAAAGTACCAGAGTATAATCACATAGTAAACGTTTTTTTTTTCTTTTTAACAATTAGCGATTTCTAAAAGAACATAATCGCTTTGAGAGCCGGGAACGCTTATTGCTAAATTGTTATAATAAAAACTATATTTACAATGAGATTGTTATATACGTTGATTTATCTAGTGTCGATAATGATTTGAGCTGATATACTGTAAAACCTCGTCATTTCTGTATTTTAAAAACTTTCTACGAAATTTATTGGTACGAGTCGAAATGTTCCTAATTTGCTCAATAGAAAAATCAATATTAAAAGCGGCTTTAAAATCGAGTCTCACAAAAAAAAATGGCAAAAAAAAACAGATTCAAAATCACACAGTATCACTTAAATCACTGTACACAATTACTATATAATATTTTAAATAAGTAGATATCCATCTAAAGTATAAAAAAGAAAAATAATAAAACGCGTGGAAGACCGACATCACAACAAATCATAAAACGATACAATATTTTTTCGATTTCGTTTAATTTTGAAATTCGCACCAAATTTTTCACTAATTCGAAATCGTCCAAATGCAACTAATAATGCTCACTAACGCCATCTATACAATGAAAATACCACATTTTGTACTTCTGTACTTTCTAGAAGTAATAAGCAAGAGAATTTCTAAATATTATATCAAGAAGTAGACAACTAACCAACCGCGTACTAAGCCCGTTATCCATTATATGCGCTTGCGCAGTACAAATACATCAGTTGACAAATGGACGTCGTTTATCCCCTACTTTAAACTCACTCGTTAAAATCATATTGCACGAACGAGCGATATATCGAGAACCGATAGTAAATGCACAATTACCCATTTCATTGCAAAACATCGACAATGTTGAAATCAAAACTGTCATTAACTAACTACACTTGAGCTTTGCCACTCGATTACACATCGACATATCTAATAAAAAAAGTTACATATTTTCATGTAACTCTTTTCACTACACAGGTCTAATATTTACTATACGATGAAATCGCGTTTTATACAAGCTTATAAATCCAACAATTACACTTACAAATAAACATAATGAGATCGTGCCCATAATCAGTTTTTTTTAACTTATGAGTCATCGTTTATATGCCAACATAATAGCGTTTCAAATAAGAATAACTGAACACGACATTTAAAGTCATTTTTAATTATATTGAAAACATAATTGCAAATCAGTATTTTTTCTGTTAAACACAGTTTGCTTAGCGCTTTTAGACAGATCTTTGTCATCAAAAGCACACATTTTTATTCGAAACGCTAAAAAAATTATTTCTAATGTTGAAACTATGCATAATTTAAAAGGTATAACTTTGTAGAGACGTAACAGTTTTTGTTATTACAAGGTTTAAATCCATACAAATAGAAAACGCAATATGTCAAAACTTATGAGAGTCCAATTTTTTTAACTGTGTTTAAAATATTTAAACACATGGAACATTCTGGAAAATTGGAAAAAGTGTTCATGGGACTGTATCTAATTAAATTCAACTAATCTATAGAAATAAAAAATAATTGCCCTTATATTATTAACGTTGTCTATTCTAAACAATGTTATAGACTGCAAATCGTTCATTCCACTTACTGTACAATTTTTTATTTTGTTTTTCTCGTTTTTTTTTATCTTATAATAATGGTTAAAGACGTAACCGGATTCATTTAAATGCATTTCACGCATCGTTCAACATTTTTGCATTTTTATAATAATATTTGACAGTTTCATAATATCCAAAAAATTGCATTTAACCTATATTTAAATTTCATTGTTGGAAATTTTAATAATTCTTCATTCTAATGAGCCAATTAATTTTCATGTTAGTATTTTTAGTGTAACAGATTTTATAGTACAAATTATTTACCAGTTTATTTATTTACTGTCAAAAATCATCATATACAAATCTGTAGATCAACCACAAACATACGTAATTTATTTTATAACCATAATAAAGTTCACAATTTTATTATCTATTAAAATGTAAGTAAATTCTGTGCAAAATACGAGATAAGAAATTAGTGTTTTATTACAAATATTGCTGTTTAACAAATACTACAAACATTTTCGAATATGTTTGCAAAAAAACAAATAAATTTGATATTATAATGATTAAGCTCATAAATATACAAATGCCTTGGAAACATCGAGAACTTAAATAAGGCAGAAATAACCGATTTTCAATGTTTTAACAAACACTACCATAATTAATCTGAAAAAAAAAATCCTTCACGACGAGAGAAAACGAAATTAGAGAATTATCCACCGAATATCTTTTGGCACGTCGCGAAAAAGACTCTTGATTCTGACGTGCCAAATCAAACGCCAAGTAATTTCCATTCTCCATATAATTCAATATATTTTCAATTAGGACCGAACAAGACTAAATTTCAAGTATAGTAATAACTGCTTATAACGGAAGGTTTTTAAATTAGAAATGTTTGTTAAAACCTGATTATTTTAGTGAGAATTCAATTGTAGAACATCGGATGGGTGACCGCATCGCTAACTGGCGGTGGACGTAGGCAACAGCGCGGCCGATACTATCGGAGAATTCACATCTGGAAACAGAAATAATTAAACATTTTTAATTGAATTCAACGAAAATGAGACAACAATAAACAATTTCAAAATAATTTCTTTAAAAGGTAATCACATATATATTAAAATATATCAATTCAAAACATTAAAATGCTCCTAAATAAATCCATAGACAATAGACATTGCTAGACAATAAAAAGTGTAGATATTATAAATGAGTTTGGATGGATTTGTTAATCTCTCTCCAAAACAATTTAACAGATATCAATAAAATTTCGCACAAACACGAAACGTAATCCAGAAGAATACATACATAATAAGGCTTTTTAATTCCATTGAAAAAAAAAATCATATTGAAGGACAAAAGAGTTGTAAAAGCAAAAATATGATAGACTCTAATATTTACTAGACTGAAATATTTTTTTTACGTTTTTAAAAGGGATGAATGATGCTGAAACTAAGTTTTATTCAGAGCAGACGGAGTCATGTGCGATAGCTAGCATTGTCATGAGCCTTTGTCCACAGATAAAGCCATATTTCATAGTGTTAACGATTTCCTGCCGTCCTTAGATGTAAGGGGGTATACAAAGTGACTGACTAGTTGGTGTGTTGAGATCGGAGTGCGGCGTGAGGTTGGACTGCGCCATCAGCTTCTGCCGCACCTCGCGGATCTTCAGCTGCAGGGACATCTTCGTGGGGAATATGTCCATGTGCGTCGTCTGTAAAATACAATTATAAAACGTAAGTTTACAATTGAAAGAAAGATAAAAACGCTTAATAGATTCAATGAATATAAAGAGTTTGGTGGATTTCCAATTTATGAGACAAAACATTTTCCGAAGTAGTTTAAAAGTATAATAATCAAATTAAATTACCACTTAATCGTTAAGTGACCACTAAAGAAATGAGTAAACAGAAGTACTAAATGGGGCAGTTAGAATTAGTGTTAGTAATTTGTTTACGGATGACGTCACGCCGTGTTATTTATGCAAACTCAAAAGTAGCTTAACGCAGGGATATGGACAGCCAATGATTTAGGGTTTATTAACATGAAGGAAGGGGGGAGAGGTCCGACTAGAGCTAGAAGTATGTATACCTGGAAGTTGGAGGTGGCCTGCGTGGTGGGGAACATGCCGTGCTCCTGGAACAGCTTGAGCACCAGATGGCGGCGCTGCTCCAGCACGCGGCGATGGCCCGCCTCCGCGCGCGCGCCCGCCCCGCCCCCGGACACGCCCCCGCCGCCGCTCGCGCTGCACGGCGTCTGCGGCGACATCTCCTCGCCGCCGTGCTCCGTTGTCACTGCAATGTTCATAATGCATTATTAGATTTTATGTATTTATAGGTTAAATTGATACTAACTAAATATGATCGAAGGCCTAAATTTTTTTGTTATAATTTTATTTATTACACTGTGTTACTATACCAGTTCGAGTTCATAGCTCTATAGGCCATTATTTGCCAAATGTTTTATTTCGAAAAACATGGCAAACATTATTTTTATTCCTGGTCAATAGTTGATCATGCAAGGTACAAGTACTAATTTAAAAGTTTTCATACATTATGATGACTGGTTTATTAAGATTTGACGATGGTAATTTAAAAGAACTACCTCATATAGTATGACACCCACAAGACTCAAAGCACATCTCACTAATATAATAAAATGCGAAATATATGGATGGATAAATATTAGTTTTTAGCCCAAACTGCTGAACAGATTGTGCTAAAATTTGGTAAAGATGGATCTGAAAGAACACATAGGCTACTCATTTTTTGTTTTTTTTTTTTTTTAATTTGACGCAGATGGGGTCGCGGGCGAAAGCTAGTACTAATATAAAGAGGAAAGATTATCAGTTTTTAATGAAAGTCCAAAACTACTGAAGCGATCACAAAATTCGCCATTAGAAAGCCTATTTAGTGCATGTATTACCTCTGAAGTTGTCAAGATTGAAGTCAGGTCCGAAGAATGTGTTGCCGACGAGCTTGGTGGTGGTGTGCGGCGTGCCGAAGGAGTGCGGCGTGGGCATGCCGCCGCCCACCACCTCCGCCTCCAGGAGCGCCGGCGTCGCGCCGCCGCCCTCCTCCTCTGCAACTTACACGATACAAATCAGTTAACAAAATATAAAAACAGTATACCATTAACGCACTTCTTACTATTTATAAATTCGTAAGTTTGGATGGATATTTGTAGACTAAACGTCTGAGAGATGCTCCATAAAATTTGACATAAATGTAGAATATAGTCTTGAAGAATACATAGGCTGGTTCCTTCTGTTTTTTTAATTCCACAAGGACGGATTCGCGGCCGTAAGCTAGTAAATATTTGGATGGATGGATGTTTGTTCTACATATCAAACGGCTAAACGTATTTTGCTGAAATTTAGCACAGATATAGTCTGGAAGAACAAATAAACTGCTACTATTTTTAATTCCGCACAAACGGAGTAATAAACGTACCTAGTTTGTTATGTTTCTTGCGTAGGAAGTGCGGGCTGCGCGGCACCACCATGGCGCCCGGGCTGCACGCCTCCGGCTTGAACTGCGGCAGCGTGCTGAACTTCTGCTCGAAGTTCACAGTCTCCAGCACCCTGACACATCACATTATTATCATCATCATCCTGTCCTTTTCCTCTCGGAAGGTCCACCCTTTTCTTATAAAAAAAGAAGAGAACGTGGATTTGACGAAGAAGGAAACGCGGAGGAGACCATTCTCTTCGTATCTCCCGTCTGTATTCCGTATTTGTGAATTGAGATAAAATAGAGAGAAAAATGACTTACTTATCCCTTCCATCTTCATTGCCCTTCTTAAAAAGGCTCTTTTTAAGGGAGGGGCTGGGCAGGTTGTCCGCCAGCTTGGGGGAGGGCAGCGCCTCGCCCTCCGCGCCCTCCTGCGCGTGCGCCGGCGCCTCCCCGCGGCACGGCGCCTCCGCTCCTGTGGAACCCGTCGATGTACCTACAAGTATAAACCGATTAGCAATAACCAAGCCATAACCGAAAGTGTAAATAACTGATGTATCGATAGCAAAAAGAGTAATTCCACCGATCGTATTAAACAATGTCTTTTCTAAGAAATCATTTGGAATTATTGTTAGCAAATTTTTTTACTAAATTAAACTGGCTGCTAGCTTTTAAATGGTGAAAGGAAAGTTAAAAATAGATAAATGTTTACCCCGACTAAGTCTTTTCTGTAGCGGCGCTCTGCCGAGCTGCGCGGGCGTCGGCGCCAGGGGGAAGGGACGCGCCTCTTCCGCGGGGATCTCCCAATTACTATAAAAATATAAAACTTATTAATATAACTTTACAAAATACAATTAATAATACAATAAATCAATATAAAAATAACCAAAAATAAAGTAAATTAGGCTTCAAAAACTTGAATTGAAAGGGTACATAAACGAACACACAAATGTACGCATGTAACTATATATATGCAGTACTAGCTGTTGCTCGCGACTTCACCCGCTTGAAATCAGAAATAATAAAATAAACAGCCTAAGTTAGTCAATAATAGTCAATAATGATTGTGCTTAGCGTAGCGTTTTAATGGTGGAAATTTTTTTTAAATTGGTCCAGTAGTTCTTGAATTATTTCAATATGTACAAAAATCCAAATCTTTTATCTTAACAATAGTAGTATTAGATTATGAAGTCACAAAACCAATACTCACGACGTAGTTTTGGGCGCCGTATGACTACTTTGTGACACAATAACAGACTGCCCGCTCTGCACATTCTGCTGTTGACTCTTGTCCACTTCTGTAAATAGACATTGTACATAAGTATTTAATATTTATGTATATAAAGTGCGGGGCTATGTACTGACCGGCCTCGAATGACGGCACGTACAACCTCTGCAACTGCACGTATGTGAAGAGGTTGCCGGATGCGTCCACCGACAGTGTTATAGGTCCAGCTGTGCAGAACACTTTTATGTTATACATAACATTCTTCCATGCACCAGATGAAAAATAATAAAACATAGAAATAATTTAATCTGTGACAATTGCACGCTTGATTTTTGCTGGGTAAGATAGTGCTGTACTCAGAACAGTTAGTCGATAACATAGAAAAACGTTTAGTATAAATTGTTGATAGTTATCATTAATATCAATTATTCTATACTATACTATAATTCTACACCGTACACATGTTACTTATAACAAAGATCTTCTACTTAAATAACTCTGAGTACAATAATAACTGCTTAGAAGATAGATAATAAATTAGACAAAATTCTGAGACAATAGCACACAAAGAAAACTCACCAGTAGCTGTATCTCCTAAATTCCTTTTCACTAATGTGACACTTTTTAGTAATGCATTATTTAGTGCTGTCGATGTTGGAGTTTGACTTATCGATTGGCTCGGTATCGATATCCCGCTGGAAATCACTTGCACACCACTAGTCGAAGTGGGCGAGTTCATTATCGATGCTATAGCATTATCCAATGCCACTTGTGTCGACATATTCGGCGTATTGAGGGAGATTCCTTGCACGCTATTGGTCAAGTTCTGTGTGCAAGTTTGCACTTGCGGGGAACTTGGCACTTGGTTACTTAAACTCTTGTTGATTGTTGTGAACGCCGTCCATTGTCGATGATTATCGCCTGAGAATAGTAAATATAGAAAGGTTTTAATATTTTGTTTTACAATTCAAATAATGAAATGGACATATTTCGTCTCTATTTTAACTTTAAAGTTTAAACAGAGCAAAAAAAAATCATTTCGATAAATTTCTTTCACATCCTTTCTATATAAAAAAAAAAAGAATAAACATATAGAGGAAGCATAATTGAAACTTTGAAACATTTTTCACATGATCTAACTAGCGTTAGTTGTCTAATCACAAACACAAATAATTCAGCAAATTTGATATAGAGATATTACCGAACAAAGAAGTTACCGGTGAAAAAAAAATGTTGGTTCTTATGTATATTTATTAAAAGTTTGGTTGAGACAAAAATAATTGTAAATAATACTATAAAGGTGATAAATCAGTATTTCCAACCTGTATCAACATGCGTGGACTTGAAAGCCCCACCAGTGGGCTGAAAGACCTTGGAGCCTCCCGGACTTGAGGCAGTAATCCCGCCCAGCAGGTTGTCAGAAGATCCCGCCCTGAGGATACTGCTTAATGTTAATTATAGTACACAAAACAGATTTTACAAACATATATAATGCAAATTGTTAATAGTTAAATGCGGATTTAAAAAACATGGTAAGTTTTCCTATGTTCTTTCGGACTACGTCCTGCATGTGTCAAATTTCATCTAGATATGTTAAGTTGTTTAAAAACACCTTGTAACAAACATCCATCCATCTAAACTTTCGCATTAACAATATTAGTAAGATTTTGTACATTTAAACGGAAAATTTCTTGAAATTGTGAAAAAATTGTCAAGATAGATAAGGTATTATCGTATCAGTTTAGCGTAAAAGGGAAGATGTATAATTTTATAATTAAAAAACAAAATAAAAATTTATTTAGCTTTATAAAGATGGATTGTAACTAATATAATAAATGCGTAAGTTTCGATAGATGGGGATAGAAGTTTATGTTAAAGATATCGATTAAATTTGGCATAAAAATAGAGGATATTCTGGAAGAACACATAGGTTTACACATACTCACTTAGGTTTTTTTTTTAAATTGTAGACAGTCACGGGCGAAAGCTAGTATTCTATATAAATATAAATACAATATCTATATTAATACCTGGCTTTGATAGGCTTAGGTCGTCGTGTGTGGTCCATTTGCGGCACATACTCCCGCGTCTCCACACCCTCGGAGTCGGAGTCCGTCACCTTCTCTACACACTTCAGCTCGATCTCGTGCTGAGCTGGCACCTCCTCTGCTAATGTCTGACCCATCTGGAAATAAACATTAATATGTAGAAATAAGAGAAATATAATTTTGATATTAATACAAAGGTTGATTAATATTGACAAAGTTTGTGGCCGAAGTCTAGTCATAAATTCTGAAGCACATTTTTGTATGATGATTGTATTTTTGTGTGTATTGAACTCAAAAACTACTGGGCCGATGTTACATAGTAACATATTACTCGCAGATAAATTACTTGTATAACGGAGAGAGAATTTTTAAAATCGGCCCAGTAGTTTCCCCCCAATCCCAATCATCATACAAAAACAAAAATTAAAAAAATAATAAAAGATACCCCATAGACTAACGCTGGCAAAAGCTAGTCTATAGTGATATTATAAAGAGAAAAGATTTGTATTTTTGTGTGTATTGAACTCAAAAACTACTGGGTCGATTTTAAAAATTCTTTCACCGTTATACAGATAATTTATCTGTGAGTGACATAGGCTATATTTTTTTATTTCACGCGGGCGAAGTCGTGAGCAATAGCTAGTTTAATAGTAACCATCTGATCGTCGTCGCTGAGCTGCGGCGAGCCGGCGTGGCTGTACACGGACACGTTGTGCCCCACCTCCGCCGCGCCGCTCGCCGCCCCGCTGTGCGCTGCATCCGATGGCGTTCGTGGACTCTGCTTATACAAACATACATCAATTTCCTACAAATACATCTATATTTGATATCCACTAACCTTAATAAATGGACAGGCTATAAACTGTGGTGGCAGTTCGCGGTTAAGTTTTGTAACTAACAGTAGTGATAGATTCAACTGTCATTAAGATTAAAAGAAACTTTTTAACAGCTATCATTTCGAAACAATTACCTATCTATTATTTATAAATCTATGGTATATGGCGCGGACGCAGCAACGACACTATTAAAGACAGACTAGATGTCGTTGCTACTAATATGTAATTAATTCAGTAAATACCAAATTATTAAATTTAATGTATGACAATGACTCACCTGAGGCATAGATCCCGTAGGATCTCTACTACTGGACGACTTTCGTCTATCCTTGTTACACCATTTCCACTCCGGGTGTGCTTTGAAATGTGCCTCTTTCACCTGAAATGTAATATTACTGTTTAAATAAAATAATTGTAATCTATATCTATACAATATTATAAAGAGTAAATATTTACATTTTTGGATTTTTGGGCCGATTTCTAAAATCATTCTGAGAAAATTAGGCAATTTTTTTTAAATTTAACGTGGACGAAGGCGCGAGCCACAGCGAGTATTTAAACCTTAGAACAAACATTTATAATTCTACAATTATAACCAAAGTTTTTCAACAAAACACTATTAAGTGTGTTTAAACCAATACAGATGGAACATAAAATACTTTTTACCCACACATAACGATAAATATTAACACGAAATTATTTCTCTGAAAATTATCAAAAACCAACTTTCACCTGCGACTCCATCTATTAGGAATTAAAAAAGCAAAAGTAACAAGCCTATGTGGTCTACCAGAATAACCTCTAAGTCTACACCAAATTTCATCGAGAACCGTTCAGCAGTTTAGGCTACAAACATAAATGCATCCATCCATCCATCCATCTAAACGTTCGCACCTATAATAGTAATAAATTATTGTCCATAATATTTTCTTAATTATACCTCACTAGCAAGTTCGTTGTATTTCTGTTTCTCCTCCGGCTTGAGGGAGTACCACCACTCGCCGAGGATCTTGCTGACGGTGCGGTTGTCCTGGTTGGGGTGTCGCTGGTGCACCATCTGCCTGTGCCGCTTTGAGAAGATCATGAAAGCGTTCATTGGACGACGGATACGACGCTCCTTCTGTAAGAAATGTAACTCTTATTTAAAATCAAAACTAAACCAAATCCGACTCGAAAAGATAAAAAAAAATTGAGTAAGCTTAGTTGAAACATCACCTGGAAACATTTTTCATGTTATCTCAATATCTACTGCCAATTTCTTTAAATTAATAGCCAGTAAGTGTCATTAAACACTATTTAAATGTTTGCATATAATTTAAAATACTATTTACTTAATTTAATAACAAAAGATGGCGTTTATTACAATTTTGTAAAATGTTTTATTACTCGACAACTGATATAGTACCTTTCAGAGAAAGTACCTGTGAAGAAATTTTGTTCACTATGCCTAGTCTATACATTTCTTAAACATCTTTGGGCTTCAAGAACCAAGATTTAAAATATTCCTTTGTTACGATTTTGGAATATCATTTTACCTTTTCAGGGCCCGATGAGTTCTGGTTAAGTGAGGAGAGACTCTGAGTGCGTCGTTTGGAAGCATCCTCTCCGCCGCCGGAACCGGTGTCCTCACATTCGAACACCTCATCATCTTCATCAGCGCACATCGAAGTCACCGTTTCTGTTATAAATGAAAAAAATCAATAAACCCAATCTTATATAAAGATTCAATGATTACTATGAATTTGATCCACATAATAGCCGAATACTGAAACACATTTTAAACACTTCGCTTTGATGTCAATATGTTAATGGAATTCGGAGTTAAAACAATTAATTACAACAATTATTAACAACCGTCACCCCGCTGTGTCCGCACGTGGCAACAGATAAGAATAAAAAGTTTCATCCGTCCCACCAATTAGCCCCGCTATCACCAATAAGGTGACAGATGAAACCATTAAAAATAAGTTCTAACCGTCCATCCGTCCTAAAAAGTGGGACGGATTAAACTTTTTATTCTCATCTGTTCCCAAGTGGGGACAAAGTGGAGTGACGATTGGGAATAATCCGTTTAAACGTGGCGTGGAAGTCGTTTCAGTATTCTGCCATAACAATTAAATATCACCATACCATTACCCTCCGACTTGATCTGCTCCTCGGACTTGAGGTGCGGGGTGTGCGGCGTGTGGGGCGTGTGTGGCGTGCGCGGGGTGTGGGGCGTGTGCGGGGTGTGTGGCGTGCGGGGCGTGCGCGGCGAGGCGGGCGCGGGCGGGGGCGAGGCCGCCTTCAGCAGCGGCACCAGCGACTGCCAGGGGAACACGCCGCCAGACACGCCACTAGTCGACACTACAAGGAAAAACACGTTACTTTACTGCGAGATTAAAACAAAACAGTAGCTTATTATATTCTCATGTGCATCAGCTATCTTTCTATGACAGTACAGTCAAAATTCGCCCAGCCGTATTTATGAAAACCCGAAAAAGTAATTTAAAAAAATGTACCAGAAATGCAAATATAGTGTGTTCGGCGAAATATGGATTTTATAAATATTACATACAGGAATTCCTATTTTATTTTTCTAGCTGTTCCGCAAGAAATTATAAAAACATTATATTATTGTTTACATTTGTCAAATTATTAAAATAACATGACATAATGATAAACCATGGCAATCTTACTTCTTTGATGTTGGCTGCTTTTAGCTTATCTATTTACCCTAGGTTTAATATCGTGAAAATATATAGCCTAAAGCCAGACGTATGTGTAGGACTTTTTATTAAAGAAAGAGTTATTCCAAAATATGCTGTGATTGCTGACATCTTACGCCACAAAGCAGTGTTTACACTTTATTATATTAGAGTATAGTTGTTACTGAGACGCTATTTATATTAGAGCAAGTAGCCATAGAAGTGACTCACCAATGATGGCGGTGTGCGAGGTGGGCGGCGGCAGCACTGGCAGCAGCTGACTGGGATGTACTATCACCGCGCTGTTACCCACGTTGTTCATCTGAAAAATTACATACTCATACTTATACCACATATTTAAACTTACTATTTTACCAATATTATAAATGCGAAAGTATCGACGGATATTTATTAGAGTTTGTAGACTAAACGGCTGAACGGATCTGTATAAAATATAGCATAGAAGTAGAGGATAGTCTAGAAGACATAGACTACTTGTTTTTTTTAAATCCCACGCGTAGAGCGGGAAAAGGTTAGTCTTAAAGGCGGAGGTTTAGATGGATATTTGTAACTACATCTCAATGGCTCAACGAATTTTGACGTAATTTGTCGATAGAATATGAAATTTCGAAGTCGCGAGCATAAGGTAGTGATTTTATACATTTTACTGTCAATTTCAATCTCAATTCAACTATTATAGATATCATACTAAACGTTTACATAAGTAAAACCGCGGTATATAACCAGTTTATTACTCACATGATCTCCGTTGTCAAGTCCTCTTGCCTCGGGCTCCGGCTCACTGTTGCTCATCTGCAACAACTGGTAAGTTTTTAATTATAACTGAAAAACTGCTTTTATAAGAGCAATATTTATTATATATTTCGTCAATCTATGATATGAAAAATACATTTATGGATATCTTAAAACTTTTAATTGATTAATTATCTTACTAGATTTTTAAGGGCATGTCCCGCCACTGGCTGATAGAGGCTCAGATAGCTTAAAAATGACGTCACTGTCAGTTAAGGTAACAAAATTCAATATTTTCATCGCATATTGGATTGTTATCAGACAATTTACAATTTGGTAGGACAGGCCCTTAATATTGTAAATGCGATTGTTTGGATGGATATTAAAAGATATCCAAGACATTAAAAGACATAGTTACTAAGGTTTTTGTTACTTTTGGACGGAATCTTGGTCTATAATAAGTTGTGTTATATCTTATTAATATTATAAATGCGAAAGTTTAAATGGATGTTTGTTTGTAGCCTAAACTGCTGAACGGATTTCGATGAAAATTTGCATAGATGTAGAAGAATCTGGTAGAACATATTAGCTACTTTTTTTATGTAATTCTACTCGGACGGAGTCTCAAGGGCAGTATTTTATTGTTACTCACTTTAATATCACTTGGTTCTTTTTTGATCAAAACGAGTTTCTTTTCAAGTGAATTTGGCGGAATGACGTAGAGTCGTTTAATGGCGTCTTTAGAGTCGTCAAATTGTTGCGGTCGCGGCTGCAGCGGCGCGGGCTTCACTATACGCTTGTCTTCAAACACTCGAGCCTCGGAAAGTTCTAGAGGCCGGCCCTCACAGACACCTCGGCCACACTCACTCTGAGGGACGGAATGATCCTCCTCCTCGTATTCCGAGACTCGTTTATTCAGAAAATTCTCCTGATTCAATGGAGATGGGTTATCGTCTCTTCTGTACGCCTCGTATAATCCATTTCGTATGTGCAATGGCTGTGCTCGATACAAATTGTGCTCTAAGTCGATGTTATTAGATGTCATATTTCTGTGCAGCACTAAATTATGCGGTACGTCGTCCATTTTCGCGTTTCTTATAGAATTTGCGATGCTCGTTTGAAGTGTTTGTGAATTCAAACTGTTTAAATTGAGAGATATATTCGGTTGTAGATTTAAACTGGACTGTAGTGTTGTGGGAGCGTTTAGATTTGATTGTACACTTTGAATGTTGAGTCCTTGTTGGATTCCGATAACACTGGACTGGACGAGGTTGTTCGACTGAAGGGTCGATGGTCCGTTTCGATTTTCGACCTAGAAACAGTTCAACATTGTAATCTTACTAATATTATAAATTCGAAATTTTAGATGGATGGATGGATATTTGTTAGAGTTTGTAGCTTAAACAGCTGAACGGATCTCAATGAAATTTGGCATAGATGTAGAGCATAGTTTGAAAGAAAACATAAGCTAGGCACATAGGCACACTTTTATTTTTAAATCCACGTGGACGGAGTCGCCGGCAAAAGCTAGTATAATAAACACTATATTCTAAGTATTTGATAAACGTGTTATTTACCTGATAATGGTAGGTGGGTGCGGGGGACACCCTGATCACACTGGTGGCCACGCTGCTCACAGGAGAACTCACCCTGCCCGGCCGGACCAGCTCTGGCCTGGAAACGAATAACAATTATATAACTCACTATACTCTAGTTTAAAAAAAAAAGATGTTTGACTGTCGAATAATAATGTATGGCTAAATCCGCGCGCTGAGCATTCTTACATTAACGTTATATCACCCTTCTCTTTCACTCCTGCGCAAATATTATGCGTCCTGCTCGCACTGACACGATCAGTGTCGAAAATATTTTACTTGTTATGTATACCTGGGTTGAGGTTTGAGTAATGATAACTAAAGATAAGTATGTTTTTACAAATTTGAATTTTACTTACATCCAGTTTTGTGTAAGTACACAAAATAAATAAATAAAAAATCTAATTTGTCCTAAAAGCAATTAATGTAATTTTGCGAGGTCTAAAAGGATTTTATTAACTAATAAAAATTTGTCCAATTTGGCGTATGAAGTCACGGAAAACCGCAGTATTCCACTTCAGGGAAATAGCCTTGTTTATTGCAACTAGACTTTTTATATCATAAGGCGGCAAACGAGCAAGCGGCCGCCTAAATCCACAGAAATGCCCGCTGCCCAAAAACATCCGCAATTACAGATACTTACTCGACGAAGAAGACGCACATTCCCCTTCCTATCTGTCTCCTCCACCGTCAAATCCGAACGGGAAGGGGACTAGAAGTAGTAGATGTTTGGTGTACCTGATGAGGCTGTGGTAGGGGGCGGAGGGGGCGAGCGGCGCGGGCGCGGGCGCGTGCGGCTGCGGCGAGGAGATGGGCACGAACACGTTGCTGCGCAGCGCGGGCGAGGCGCCGCCGCACGCGCCCACCGGCGACGCGCCCGGGCTGCCCGACCGCGAGCTGCCCAGCGACACTGCACGACACACACTTCAATTATACTACTATACTGATATATTTAATGATTCAAATTCCTTTATTAAAACTAGAATTAAAAATTATTATTTCAATTAAGATCATACCCCTTAGCAGTATACATTAATTTATTTCTCTTTTTTGTAGTGAGCTTCAGTTTTGTTTTTTGTTTTTTGGCTGTTCATTCTTTGTTATTCATTTGAACTTCTAAACTCCACGCGTATGAAGTCGTAAGCAACAGCTAGTCATACTAATATTAACTAATATTATAAATGCGAAAGTTTAGATGGATAGATTGATGGATGTTTGTTAGAGTTTGTAGCCTAAACGACTGAACGGATTTCGATGAAATTTGGTATAGATGTAGAGGACAGTCTGGAATAACATATAGGCTAATCACTTTTGTTTTTTTTTTTTAATTCCACGTGGACGGAGTCGCGGGCGAAAGCTAGTATATTATAAATGAGAAAGTTTAGATGGATAGATGGATGTTTGTTAGAGTTTGTAGCCTAAACGGCTTGATAGATTTCGATTAAATTTGGTATAAATGTAGAGGATAGTTTGGAAGAACACATAGGCTACTCAGTTTTGTTTCAATTCCATGCGGACGGAGTCGCGTGCGAAAGCTAGTGAAAGGCAAGCAAGCAGTGTTATACCGAGCATGTTGGCGGCCTCCGTCTCGTCGGGGTCGAAGCGTCCGGCGACGCGGTAGTGCGGCGGCGTGGTGTCGGACTCGCGCGACGTCTCGTCCCCTTCCACGCACGTGCCGCTCGACGACAGCGACTTGCTGCTGCTCCTGCAAATACACAAGGCTGATAAGCTTGAAGCTAGTTTTTTCAATTTAATAAAAATCTAATAAAACCGTTTTGAGTTATCTATAAAACATATTTCGATTCTTTCATATTTATTTGAAAATTTTCAACTTTCTTTTTTTTATAACACAAGGTAGCAAACGAGCAAGCGGCCACCTGAATCCACCAAAATGCAGATATGACATCCGTAATTGCAGATGCGTTGCCTACCCTTATCCGACGGAGGAGGAGACGCACATGAAAAGGATATTTCCCCTTCCTATTCATCTCCTTATAAGAAAAGGGTGGTAAAGAGAAAGGGACTTAAATTAGGCCTCCAGCACCACACTCATCATACGAAACACGGAATTGCTTCCATTTCACGACTGTCTTTTGCTTTTCTATAAGAGGATATATTTCATACACTAAATCGGTATTTGATCGCTAAAGGAAGGCATGGTCAAACAAAATAAATCAGCTTGAAAATACAGTTTAAGTAATCTGAATGAGGCAGTAAGTCTCTTATTCGCGATTCAGACTTGGCCAGTACAGTTGCAACGGCCAGTCGTAGATTGTATAGACGTTACTGACCAACTGTACTGGCCAAGTGAACCGGGCATTAATGTTTTTAGCTGTAAGAGTGACCTCTGATGCGGCGTGTGCGAGGAGTGCGCCAGCGGCGTGTTGGAGGAGCGCGCGACGCCGCGCAGCGAGAGGTGGCGGGAGCAGAAGCCGCGGCGCTGGCTCTCCTTGGTGCAGCCGTCCTTGGAGCAGAGCCGCCGCCACTGCTTGCCGTTGAACTTCTTGCGAATGCCCGTCGGAGTCGACACCACGTCGCCCTTCTTGTACTTGTGCGGGGTCGCCGCTTGAGATCTGAAATACATACACCGCTACTAACTATTGCTGTTGATAGCCGTCTTACTGATAATCCAGCTTTTTAGTGAAAAAATATTTGAGTTATTTTAATAAATACAAATCTTTCCTATTTATATAATTTTGTATGAAAATTCATCACTAAAAGCCCATCTAAGTAACCAGAATGTGATCATAAGTCTGTTATTGATGATTTATACTTAACCGTTAAATGTTTTTTTTTGTTTTAAAATACCGTAAATTGAACATAAATCAAGAGAAAAATATTTTTTTTTTTAAATAATCTTTTGGGTGTGGAAGAAAAAACTGATGTATAGATGCATCATCATGCATTTAAGTATAGATCATCATTAACACACTTACTATCACATTCTGGTTATTTAGATGGGCCTTTACTGATGAATTTTCATACAAAATCTACACTAATGCTTCCCTTTAATCACCATTAAACGACTCTTATCATGGCAGACTTATTTTTTAAAGAAATAAGGTATACAAAGACTCAATAATCATCATATCCCTTTTTTTAATTGCTCTATGTAGTCCGTTCTCTTCAAAACAAAAAACTCGAGATTTCTAATGTGTATGCTTATTAAGATTAGACATCATAATTATTGAACAAATGTTTAGGGTAATTCTCTTCATAACTGACCTGGGAGTGGGTGGCTGAGATCGTGGCGTGAGACTGCGTTCAAGTAGACTGGATGTGCTGCCTCGGCTCTGAAGACTGCTGCGCTTGCTGTTGTTACACTCTACATAACAATTTAAACAATATAAATACACATAATATCTACCTTGATTGTCAATATAACTAACAATTGACACATGTTACTTTCAAACGTAAACTTCGTATGGTACGTACAGTGTAAACATACTAAAGAAATTCAAAAAATATACCTATAGAGAATGTTCCTCACTTAAAAGATCCTTAAAACCACATGTAAATATAATTAATTTTATGTTGCGATACTTATTTTATAACAAAAGATGGGAGTTTATAAATTTTTTCTACAACATGTCAATAAAAGGTGGCATGCTAAACTTGACAACTAACGTAGTACCTTTCAAAGAAGTTACCGGTGAAAAAAATTTTCAAATGTCTAGTCTATATTGTCTTAAATATTTTTGAAACATACCCATATGTGAAGCGTCAGTGGGGAACATAATGTCTTCTTTCCTGAGATCATCATCGCTCTCGCCGTAGTCGTCGAAGGCGCGCTTGCGCAGCTCGTCCATAGTGCCGTTTGCTAACCCTCCGCCTGCCACCGCACCAGCCATCGGAGATGATGTGTAGAAATGGCTGCCACAGATCTGTGTAACACAAATTAAAACAATAATGATTGATGGAAAGAAATCCAGGAACGATAGATATAGTTCACTAACTCCCACGATGTCGCTACCTGTGAAGGTGGATGGTGCGCACGCAACATCTGCGGGTATATGGCAGTAGCGTTGCAATCGGCGTCTTCCAACTCGTCAGCCCATGGCGGCTGCAGAAGCCGAATATCCGCGCGCTTCACCTCCACCGTGTCCTTGCACACCTCGCCCTCAAACACCTACAATAATTAAAAAAGGTATAGTGCAAACTATACGCTTCCATAGTCCTAATTAAATTTGAAGGTCACTCACCCTAACACGAATTCTAATAGGCGAATTGTGCACTTCAAACACGAGACCTTCTATAAATACACTCTGAACACTCTCCCTACTGTGGTCAACAGTCCGGACCACACACGCAGAGCCTATCTGAAGATGGCTGAGCTGCGGACTGGCGTCACTGATCACGTCGTACTTGTTCACACCGAATACGTCACTATACTCGACTGGCTCGTTCTCTTGGCCGTCCAGTTCCACTAACACTTTACAACCTTCCGCCTGCCGGATAACCCCAGGGACGTATAAACCTCGTTGCTTCGCTAACACCCTGTGATCGCGCCACTCTGATAAATCTATATTTGGGTACATTGTGTACTTTATTTCGGACGGCGGTGGCGACCGTTGCACGATAGGAGAGGGCATAACAGGTGTGGTGTAACTGGGAGCAGATACGGCAATATTTGAAACGCAACTCCGATCGATCTCTTCGAACTCCGATGGATCGAATTTGCGTTTTTTAGGCAGGTTTCTCGGCACTGGCGCTGTTGTAGTTTGTTGTGCCGAAGCTTGGCCGTTACTAGTGCTACTGGCAGTGCCAGGATTAGTCGGATTAGCCATTGTGATGTTTGGGGTTGGGTTTGTTGTGGATTGAGATAAGCTGACCGTTCCCACGCTACTGATCACCGAAGCGGGAATCTGAAAAAAGAACAAAATTGTATTAAAACGTGTGTTTCTGTCACATTCATATATTGAACTAGGGTTCTTAATTTCATTTCAAAACGCGCTGCCGCCCGGGAAATGCCTATCCATGTCAGCTACCTTCCAGTAAAAGTCCCGTCGAAATCAGCCTTGCCGTTTCGGATTATATGTATAGATCCAATTTTATTATGTATATAGGTAGATGAATAACGGTGAATGGACGATAGCAGTTTAAAAGATTGTTATGACGTCACCTGATCATCGATGTCCGCATAGAGAGCGTGCGCATGCGCACGGTAGTGCGGGTGTGCGTGGGTGTGGGGCGGGGCGTGTGAGTGCGGCGGGGGGGCGCCGCCCGCGTGCGTGCGCTGCATCACCGCCGGCCGCTACCGCGCCTCACTCATTGTCCATCACCTGAAATACACCAAAAAATTTTTAATATTCACATATCACAGCCACGTTATAAATCCCTGGTGGTATTTTCTAAATAATACGAATAAAGGTAAAATTTCAGGTTCAGTTGTCGCGTTGTTCTGTTATATAAAAAAAAGAAATAGTTTTTGTTATAACATTTTGCTTTTATTAAGCTATAATTAAAAAAAACTTAAGCAGCAATCAACCTCCTTTACAAGGAAGCGACAAGCACAACAGCTGGGTTCAGTTCATTGGCTGCCTTCGGCTTCTTGACTGCTTCCTAAACTTCTGGGTAGCAGTACTCCGATCCCAGGCGGCAAATTCCTCCTTTGACTACGCTGCCTCATGTAGGAGCAACACTTCCACATCCAAAAGGAGGAAAAAAAAAACAATAGTCACAAGGAACAATAATAATAGAAGACTCAAGCCTAAGCGAATGATCAAATCAGCTTGTCCACGTTCTTTTTTTGGAACACGTGTGTGTGCTGTCAAAAGTGACAGATGACGTTTTTTATTTTTAAATCTTTTGACAGACACATTACACAGTACATAATTGCTGTTCTCATGCTGTCGCGGATTACAAGATTCGAAACAACGATCCGGTCTCGATTGCACTATCTATAGGGAAAACCATAAAATGTTTACTACTATTCGCCACACCTTAACAACAAACCAATCGTTTTCAGTTTTATATCATCGCCTTTTAAACCAGCTTTCTCCAATCATTCTATATTATGTTAGTAACCATGGGGTTAAGATACTATTGTTTTACATTATTGTACAATGACAATAGTGTTATGACCCCAACTATACAATGTGAATAGAGTCGTCAATATATGCTAAATAGAGATTGTGGTTCTTCCATATTTAGATAACTAATTAAAATAAATATTATCCCTCACAGACGCTTATTTAAAACAAACAGCGATTATATTGTAAAATAAAGAATAATTCTACTATCGTTTGCAATAAAAAAAACTAATATTATTTTATACAATCAAAGAGAATAAAATTGCGGGTATTTTTAAAACATCAATGCTAATTAGATAGAACTATGGGACTAAAAATAGGGATCCCTATATTGCAGTCAGAGGTTATGTAATGTAATAAAAAAGAAAACAATATTTACCTTACCATAAATAAAATCACTGAACTTTATAATGTAGTCCCCTAATTTTTAACCTGGCTTTATATTAGCGATAGACTCTGATTTTATATAACTAGACATATTGAAAACAATTATATACCAGCCGTTCTACACGTAACGAGAAATCAACTAATAAAACGTTGGTTATCTCGACAATAAACATATAATGACGTTAATCGATAAATGCCATATTGATATAGACAAAATATGCATTACGAGTTTGTATGATTAATTATAATGATATCACACCACACAAACAAATACATACATTTAACTACAGTAGAACCTCAATAACTCAAACCTCGGTAACATAAAAACCTCTATAATATAAAAATAATATGTTCCCTTTCCATCAGAGCCCAGACCTCTATAACATAGTCCCTTTATAACTTAAAACCTCTATAATTTAAACCCTTTATAATTTAAACCCTTTATTATTCAGTGCATTAGCATTAGAATGGATAAAGTTAAGATTGTGTATATTAGCGGAAGTTTTAAGGTAGCGCCAGTGATTGAGAAATTGAAAAGCAAAAGGTTAGCGTGGTATGGACATGTTATGCGACGAGACGATGGGGACATAAGCCAGAAAGAGTTAAGAATGAATGTGGATGGCTACAAAGTAAGAGGAAGACCGAAGAAAGTATAGATGGATTGTGTGAAAGAGGATATGCCTAAGGTGGGGGTGGATTCAGATATGACGGCTGATAAAGATGTATGAAAGAGCAGGACGTACTGTGCCGACCCTGCGTGAGGGATAAGGGCAACTTGATGACGATGATTATTCAGTGCATTGGCGACTCTCTCTCGGTCAGACAAAGTTTTCAAATAACCGCATCAAGAAGCGTTCAAAGGGTTGACTATGTCTAATTATTTATTGTAACACATCATAATATACTTAAACAAAACTGTGTGATTTTATTCTTTTTTTTTACAAAAAAAAATTAACGAGCGGAAGCAAGTCAATGCGCAGAAGCCGTGGTAATAATCAACTCATGCGATAAACTTAAAGACAGGGATCGTAAACCAGCGACTTGACTTGAACTTTAATTGAGTAGATATCAAAAAAGGGGAAATATTAAAGAATAAAACAAAAAAATGAATTAATAAAATTAACTGTCGGTTAATTTCTCCGTTTTGTTTTACAAAATAAAAAAAAACATTGTATAACATTCTTTTGATCTAAAAATTTAGTACTTACAGCTTCACTCAAATTTCGTAGTAAAACATTTGGAATACACTAATAAATAGACCAAAATATGATCGATATCTAGAAAAGGTTTACAATCTCTGGTTATGGGATGAAACGAAATATTTAAGGCGGGAAGTCAAGCTAACTGGCAACATGACGTCAGTCAGGTAAGTAATCAGTTCAGCTCTGTTTAAATCCTGTTAACGTTTTCTGATAAAAAAATTATAATAAATAATCAAAGGATAACATTAATTTTTGAACACGTAACATATTTCCTTATACTCCGTACTGTAATTTCGTAAACAAAATATAATGTGCCAAAATTTTACCTACAACGTGAATTAAACTTCAAACTTTTTAAACATTTTTATTAAAACTTTTTGCAGAGCTAAATAATACAATTACATTTTGAGAGCATAAAATCAATGTACGATTCTGAAAAGGCTTGTAAATTGCTCGTTCGAATATAAAAATGTGCGCGAACAAAACACTAGGCGCGCCTCGCGGAAGTACTTTAATGGTTGGAAGTTTTTATAATTGGATAGGCAGTTGCGTTGGGATTTTCAATTCATACATTCACAGCCGTAGTATGGGATAAGTACACTTCGCGTATACGACAACCGCAGTGTACTCAAGCGATCGTATTCGAACCCGAGTATAGAGCTGAGAGATAATTGGCGATATGATATCTGATTATATACTTTCTTTTTGATCCGACGATAATGAAATATGCAATATAACACTTTTTTTTGCGTTATCAAATAAATAGTAGCCATTTTTTATACAATAAACGGAGGTAAACGAACGGTTTATTCACTGATAACATGAACACAATCAGATTTTGCAAAAAAACAGGTCCGTGGAATATTGCTGCACCGAAGTAATGCAAAAACGATTTATATTAACAAAATTAAAGATAGCAAAAATGCGTCAAGCATTAGTTAATTTTAATTACATAGATACATACATTTTATTTTATTATTAACCATTGCGTAATATCGTTCCTCTTAATGCCTACGTAAGTCAAAACCCGTTCCGCTACGAGCAGAGATATAATAAAAAAAAGTAGAGGAAAACGGTCAGTGAGTAATAGACCTAAAGTTGTTTCAACACAATGCAATATTTACGCGTTTATGTCATACTAGATTTCGCCCACGACTCCGTCCTAATGGAATTAAAAAACAAAAGTGAGTAGCCCATATGTTCTTCCAGGCTATCCTCCACATCTATGCACTTCATTGAGATCCGTGCAGCAATTTAAGCTACAAACTCTAACAAACACCCATCTAAACTTTCACACTAATAATATTAGTTAGAAGTTAGATAGGGAACAAGAGTAATGTTTAATCTAATGCAAATACAAAAGAAGTGTCACCGTCGTGATTTATCAAGCACTAGCTGTTGCTCGCGACTTCGTCCCCGTAACATTAAAAAAATAATAAAAATCTATAAAGCTATTTAATGGTGAAAGAATTTTTGAAATCGGTCAAGTAGTTTTTGAGTTATTTCAATACATACAAATCTTTCCTCTTTATAATATTTGTATAGGTAACAGGATTACCAACTAAATTAACGCATCTGACAAGAGTTACATCTCTTATAAAAGCTGCAAAGAGATGGAACTTTGTTCCTTGAATGGTATTAAATTATTAACTAATTGCACTCCAAGGTTTTCATATAAATATGTTGATTATCAACTTCATTGACAATGGATTATGAATCCTGAATTGAGAACATAAGCACCTATATTATCGCTATGTTAGTAAATCTTAAAAATAGTTTACTTGCCATATACAAAACATTACCGGAGACATAACAATATAACTAATATCAACAATTATGCTATTTATATTATATTGCCTTTTGAGAAAAGGCAATTCGCCAGGAAAACGGATGATCGTGTGAGATTACAATGAAATGATCGGATTTATTAGTTTTGCGAGTAACATCAGTAACTTGTTAGTTTTTAAAGAGATAAATTATAAGGGGTCTACCAAGAAAATTAGCGAGATAATATTCATCATGTTCTACGGTCATGTCATGTAGAACGGGATAGTTTTCGTATACAACAGTCGTCGACATTAAATTTTTAATTTACGAATACTTTCTAGGAAATTTTCGTGTTAGGTCCCAATATACCTATAAATCTTGCTTATATCACTAATTGCCTAATAAAATCGGCTCTATTCGAGTCTAATACAATAACTTTAATCGCACTCTAAACAGTTTATAAATAGTATCGGAAAATATTGACACAGGACAAACTATTGTACAAACAATATGTCACAGACTAGATAACGAGCAAGTAAGACAGGACAGAAAGACAGGTGAAAGGTTACACTCTGTTATCTTTAACGGTATCTTTTTCTCTTTTACGCTATTCCTTTTAGATTATACAAAGTGCAAAGTAGAACAATATTTCTGGACATAAGATTTCTTTAACATTTAATAGGTATATGATATTCCAAAATAATAGTTACTTTACCTACGAGTACTCAACAAATCGTTGCTTACACAATATTAGTAGAAACAAAGTTTTCTTACCTTACCTTTAGCTATAGATATTACACCATCACGCTACTACTGTCCTTTAAATAATTAAACAACATATCACTGATCTGTACTTAGAACAATACTCAAGTTTGATTATTTCATAACACTTACAAATATCAAATTGGTTGAAATAGGCTAAGTAAACACTAAACAGTAACATAGTCATAGTTATGAATCACAAACGTGTTCCTTCTTGTTGCGGACGTTGAATTAATCAGAGATAAAGCTGGCATTGGACCCTAGCGTATGTTAAATATTAAAAACAAAAGCGCGTTCAGACATGTCCGATCTAATGCCCGGTTCACACTTGGCCAGTTGGCCAGTACAGTTGTACAGTTGCGATGGCAAGCGACACTCATTGGCGCCTGTTAGCTTTTACACTCTGACAGTTAATTGACAGTCCAATCAAAGATCTACTGAGTAATTTGTACTGGCCAAGTGTAAACTGCGCATAAACTCCTCGTCGGCCTTGGTGTGGTCAGGATCGATGTACTAGTAGGGTCACCATTCTTGAGAAATTACAGGTAAAACTTTAAAAAAATTGACCTATCGGAGATAGAGGGTGATAAAGTTGGTGAAATTATTTAAAATGCTCATCTTTCTTCAGAAACAATCGGTTTCTGTTTTTTTTTTTTATTAAGACTGGTAAGTTTTGATACAAGAGCTTCGGTCGCTGAAATCCACGCTTCGGTTGACCTTTCGTGAGCTGAATATCATTTTTTAATTATTTAAAGTGGCTATTAAACGATAAAAGAAAAATATGAAAAATCTCAACGTGTGGTCCACATAGCATACAATCTACGTTAGTGCTATAAACTTGGTAATAGTATGCACGTAGGACGTCTGTGATAACGATGATAAATACGGGAGTAATTGTGTTTGCTGCGTTCATATGGATTCCATTTAATTTTACTAATACCTGCAAAAGTTTGAATGGATGGATGTCTCAGTTTAGATATAAGTGAATACATGTGTAATGGAAATACTCAAAAACTCGTAAAATTTTAGGACGAAACTATCTATGACTGCAACTAAAAATAGGATTTTTAACAAATACTATTGTTAATTTTCTAAACGTTGTCCAAAATGCTATGACGAAAATATTTATTACATACTGTCATGAATATTTTACCCACGTTATCAACACAATACGATGACTAGATGTCACCTTCCTTACGAATTACCTTTTAAATAATAAACCGATTGGATAACCTTAGTGTAATTAATAAAATAAGAATTACACGCATAACAACTTGGTTATAAACATTTTTTCTCTATTCTATTATGTCTATATGTTATCTGTTTAGTATTGTTTGAGTTTAAACTATTCCCACTATTGATAAACTTGTAATAAAACAGATTTTCTCTAACTTCCGTTAAAGAATAAAAGGGATGATAATATTTGTGTACGAATCGTCGATTATTGAAAATTCATGGTCACTTTGAAACAGACAGCAAACTTTGTAAGTAAAAAAATCTTTATAGGAGGCAAAAACCCACTTTGCATTAGCGGAGTAAACATGGTTTAAAATAACTTTGGTGTTTACTGAAGGGAACGTATTTTAATAATTCTATAGTAATTACATTTTTATATGACAAAGGCAGATATGCTATTACGAGCGGTTGGTTCTCGCGGGCTCACGGGCGTGACGCAACATCCGGCAAACACTGACACACCGATGATCTGTGGCTCAACGATGCGGCTTAACTTTATTGTTCTACAGGCAGTGTGTAACACGACCATCACATATTAACATAACACATTACATGTACAAGACAATTACGGTATAAACCCCTTACACTAGTTAGTAACCCTAATGCTAACTGAGGTCGTCTTTTGCCTTGGCGGCACGATATTAATTCGATAAATTTCGGAAAAAAATATCAATTTAAACAAAACTGCTTATTGCATTTTATTTAAATTAAAACATTAAATCTGTAATCTAACCTTCACAATAAAATTAATTAAATCCTGTTTCCATCCCTACACGACACGCGTGAGACATAACCTATTTCTGGCTTTTCACTTAGGTGCGGCAGGGTCACCTACTTATCGTGCTTTCAATACATTTTAACTGTCGCATATTTCTATCACGCAAGTTACGACTTAACTTATAATTAATTATATGATGCTTCATCATTCGTATCGTAAATTCAGTATACTAGAGTTTTCATAGTATCAATTATAAAGGCGTAGTATTTCGCGTGGGGAGAACGCTCAGACTCGACTAGTTCCATGAAAACATCTGTTCAAATGTCAGATTATTCACACGCTAAATTGTACCAGTGAGTATACCTAGCCTACAATCATATACTATTAATAGATACTAGCTTAATCATTACTTTGAGTTTTGTAAAACAGACTTGCTATTTAGACAAAAAATACATCGCCATATTTATTGACAACTACAACATAGACATGCACCTACAAAGGCTACTTTGACTTCTACCTATTTACCGCAATAGTAGCCTGTTACTAGTAGAAGCTTTGCCGATGGTCTCCTGACGTCACGCGTTAACTGACGGTAAAAAGCAGAGGAGAGCGGGAAGCGGCCGGTGATAGTGGGAAGGGGAGTCATCGGCAAATACCTCACGCGTTTAATAACAAACCCAATATCAAGGAAATAATCACGATAAATGACAGTAGGTTACACTGTCATAAAAATCTAGTGCACAATAAAACTATAATGTTTTGTCATTCAGTTAGGCTGACTCACAACAAGGAATGTGAGTTTGGATAACCTCAATATGTATTTTAAAAATAACAATTACTCTGTTGACAGGTTTTACATGTTTTTCACGCATGTGTAATCAATTTATGTTTTTATGTTTTATTTATTTATTTAAATCTATGACATAATGCGGGGTACGTGTGTGCGTGTTTAGTAGCAGGAATATTTTGTTAACACCTTATCTGCCATCTACTTGGGCTGGATCAATTTTGTATGTACAGTCGCGTCAATCCGCGGTGTTGAGAAAATAATTCCTTACTCTATGCCACGAGACACTACTACGCCTTTTCCTACAAATAACTAAATTGATAGCAGTGAATGGCGCAACTAAAGGATAATAATAAACAGAAACTAGTCATGTATCACTAAGCAACTTTCTTTCGTATGGACACATTTATAAGTTGCGTTGTATTGGTTTTTGTTCCACTTCTAGTTTCAAAATGTTCAGACAATTGTAGTTTTTAGGGTGGTACACTGCCAGTATCCCCAACTGTACATCACATAGGCATTTAATGTGTTAAAGGTACAATAATAAGCATTATCATTCTAAATAATCAAGGTGGAAAATAGTAAAAGTTGATGAACAATAAAATCACTAATTAGCTGCCTTTTGGGGTTTTATGGATGAATTTGATAATCGCTACCCATTTAAAACTTATCAGAATTATGAATTTGCTAAGTTCTGCATTTCATAAGGATAAAATTGGAAATAAGTAATGTGCACCGTTTACATACATAAAATCAATAAAATTCATAAATACATCATGAAACATATAACAAAACAAGCACGAAAATACAAATAATACTTCCTAAAATTTAGGTTCTTAGACTTTAGACTTGTAATTGTTGGTATAAAAGCAAATATGCTACAGTCCAAACTTTATATTTTAAACTAGACATACCAAATTACGGCTTATTGCAATTTCTTTCTTTTACCCCCCCATTATCCATTGGAAAATTGGAGCCGCACATAAAGAGGATATTTCCCCTTCTAATGCATCTCTTTCATCGTCATATCCATGTTCCCTTGCCATCCTATTCTTATGAGCAAAAGGATGGAAAGGAAATGGGACTAAAGTTGAGCCTATGTACCCACACTTAGTATGAAAGACCGAATTGCTCCTACTTTGGAAAGGAATTCCATAAAAGTAAATATATTTTTAAATAAACAGTATCATTATTAATTTGGGTAACCATTTATTAATGGGTCACTATACGATGATGGGGCAAATACGAGTCACTAATCATTGTAACCGATGGACTATGATCATCCACAACCAGGCTGACAAGAATGGAATAACAAAAAAGATTCATAAAAACTTGTTATTCTCTAGACAGGACCATGAAAATAAAAATATTTATATTTTTAATGGATAATGAACAAATTTGTTTAATAACTAAATAATCTTATCACATAATATAAACAGACAAATGTAATGAATTTAATGCTATTTTTAGTGGTCAGTATATTGTCGAATAAATATCTAAGTTCACAATGCCAAACCATTTATTTTGGTATGATACAAGAGTAAAAGGGAAAATATTTTATACCACTATAGTTAAAACTTTTTTGACCAGTCATGTCTCCACTGGCCAACATTGCTCCCGGACATTGCTACATAGTATGTTATTACTATATGCTGAGTATTGAAGCAAGTATGCTTCAGTACAAATTTTCATTTTTAAAGAAGCCATATCAAATTTTTGCTTGGCAAAATTGCTACCATTTGGTATTCATTAATTTAAGAAAAATGACTGAAACCTATTTGCTTTACCCTTAACTTACGTTAAGTAGTTATTTATTGGAAAATTACATTTTAAATTAAGTAAGTTAAATTAAGTATAGGTTCTCTACATCATTTATACAACAATGATATAAAACTGAATATTGAGGTTATAAACCTGCAGCATAACAAATCAAAAACAATTTGCATTAGATGTTGGCTTATTTATAAACATTTGACAAGCTGTTGTTGTTTTAGTTCTCAAACTAGAATCAGCTGATAAGGACCATACCACTAACAAGGGCGTTTATTCGTCTAGGAACAGTATATGCATGCTTACTGCAACTTAAATCAGTCAGTTTACACTCGTTTTACGCGCAGATCCACGTCGCTGAGGCAAGCGCGGCGGCAACGCGTGGACCAACTGTGACTAATGAAGTCATCGTGCCGCTACGACGGCTGCGCCACATAACGATGCACAAAATCGAATACCATTATTTATTAACTCATGCAAGATTACCGTCGTGGTCGGCCTACATGCGCAGACATTGCGCCCCGACCCCACTGGCTACAGACTACCCAGTACTCACCGTCACTTTCCATTGTCGCAGGCAAGATGCACAGTATAAACAACGAACAAACCACATAATAAAACAAAATGGAAGTCCGACTCGCTCGCGGCGAGATGAGAAATTTTATTAGCACCACGAACACCTCTCGAGTAGTAAAACGTTGTTACTATCCTAGCGTAGTATTTTAGCAGCCCCCCACCAGTCCATTATCTGCCTTGACCACACTCAAATTGTTCACGATCACAAAGCAATGTGTCCACTTAACATCGATATTTATCACAACTAGATTATTCCGAAGATAAGTTGCATCAAATTTAACATTCACTTGAAAATAATAATCGCTAATGCGTTTGACATCCCGAGACACAACACCCACATCAAAAAATCTACATGGCGACTGGCCTGGCCTGGCTCATAATAATTTCCACTCGAACGTATTCCCATTTCGCTTGTTCACCATTCAGTTGATTATTTCTCAATACGAGTAAACGAGATAGAAATATATAAATATTTCCTATGTATGAATAGAATCGGTGTTGTGAAGTGTCCCTCCCCGGCACTGCCCGAAACTGAGTTGAATGGACCCGAGACGCGCTCGACCATTGGATCGATGATAGTCACGTGATACAAATATGGCTCGCTTCAAACTGTTACCCGCGAACATTTAAAGTTAGCTCCGTTCTTTGTTTGTGTTACGTTAACTTTATGATCGCATTTTGTTACTTTAAAAATGTCACAAGTTAACACGAATGTTATTAATTTTTTATTATTTATGTACAAATCTTTCGAAAACCTATAGTACTCGGTAGTGCTCGATAAAAGGTACCTTAACTTATTTTTATCTGTCGGATTATTTAAGTGGAATGATTAAGAACTGTTCTTGAGGTTTACAAATATTTTTCTATGGTTACCTTGTAAATTATGTTTTCTTCTAGACCATGCTCTACATGTGCCAAATTCCATCAAGATCCGTTAAACCGTTTTAGAGATACATAGTAGTAGCTGAAATACATTGTGTTAACTACGAAAATTGATTTCAAAACGGTAGAATTAACTTAATTTCTAAAATAATACAAATCAATCAAGTGTTTTCTATTTATATCAGCACATAAGTTCGTTTAAAGCAAACGTTAAAATACCATGAAATAAGTTGTACCATTTTATTTCATAAAAGTAGGTCATACGAAAAGAAACTAGACGAGCACACAATACTTTACTTGAATCATCGTAGTCGGCATTTAAGTAGACAGCACGTAATTTGATACATTCTATTACTTTTTCCTTAGCCTCAACTAGCAGAAATAAAGAACGAGCATTCGTAAAATAATTTATTAAGCACAAACAGAAAATGGTCGTAAAGAATCGGAACTAAGTATATAGTGAGTTTTTATCGCATTTTTTAAAATTTTCGTTGTGTGGAATGTTTTACAGCTCTTGTGTTTCAGCAATGTGAACCCACGCTTTACTATTGACGTTAAGTTTGTAAAATCATTTGTTAAGGGTATTACTTTGCTAGTTTTGTATCGTTAGCAAATCTCATGTAATATTACCGTAGCACGGGTCGCCAAGTTTGTTAAATCCACCAATTAGACGACATACTTTACGACCTCCCAAATTACGTATTACTTAAAATCTTAAATGAAACAACATTGTTCAGTATACAATATGTATTATTTTTATACTCTCAGTACCTAATTATATTTTTCTGTCGCAACAGTCTGGACTCTGGACTAATAGTCGCGATCGACTGGTTAGCTACCCCTGTCAAAAGGTTTTAAGCAGTACAATGTAGTTTTATCATAGTATAAGATAGGAAACCAGAGGTACATTTCGCTAAAATAGAGATGTGACCGTAGCTTATAGCAGTTGTCGATGATCAGTGTCTTATGGACAGAAAAGTTAGTGTACGGAAAGAGCGTATTTCCCCTTCAAGTACATATCATCCATTTGTTAAGAGAACAGTATGGTTAGGGAAAAGGCTAGTATATTCTTCCAATACCTAGAGGTTATGCAATCTATTCATTGTATATTATTAAGCCTTAGCTGCTGCCTACAATTTTATTAAAAAAAAAAAATTATTTGTGACTTACACTAAAGCAAAATGACAAAAAAAAAAAGATTTACTGAAGCAGTAAAGTCAGATCAATATAAAATAAAATTAAAATAAAATGAATTTTGGCTTTGAATATATTTATTGTGTAAGAAAATATATCCTACTTACTTAAAATTATGTAATGACTTTTAAACTTAACTTTCAATTGAGGCAAAGAAAATTAGTATAAAGTGATAATTTATTGATACAATTTGAATTCAAAATGAATGAAAAAATTAAACAAACACAATTTTTACGTCTAAATCCCATTACATACTATACTGGGTTTTTAATTATATCTATTAAATAATTTAAACAATATATACGAGTTACATACCCATTACATTTTTTTTAATTGAGCTGTAGTGATGTAAGCAGCAATTTATGTACAATACGCTATTACTCAAAATCTATATTTTTGAAAGTTTGTGTTTGATATATAATAATTGTGCAACATAATGTTATATGCCGAGACCAAAGACAGAGACGATGCAATACATAGTCTTGTTTTCCCAACGCACGGTGCAAGATCCATCGGTATTGTTGTCCCAAAAGCACGAAGACGCCGTGTGAAGTCCAGCACCATTCTTCTGCATAATTGTACAGGTTACTGTAATAGAAACAAATACAAATTTAAATTATAAAGAGGTAAAAAAAAGACCATTTTGGAGTGAGTGTAATCATTTACTTTAATTAAAGTGATGTCAATACAAAGAAATAAATACATCTAAACTAATATAATAAAGCGTAAACACACACTTCTTTGTTGCCTAAGATGTCAGCAATCGCAGCATATTTTTGAATAACTCTTTTTTTAATAAAAAGCCCTACACTTACGTCACGCTTTAGGCTATATATTTTCACGATATCAAACTTAGAAGGTAAATAAATTAAAAAAAACCTTCATGTGGGAAAGAAACCATAAGTTGCTGCCAACATCAAGGAAGCAAGGTTGCCATGGTTGTCATTTGTCCATTTGAGTTTTGACATTTGCAATAGAGAATGTGACAATTGTAAATAATCAATAAAGTTTTTATAAATACATGCAGATGAAGCCGCATGAGAACAGCTAGTTACAAATAAAGTTTTATAGCTTATGTAACATCATACTTTAAGGATTCATACTATACATTAAAATTTTTAGGTCTAAATGAATTCATCACTGTATGGAGCCCACATTAATCCAATTATAACTGAAATACACAAATTAAAATAGCAATACTGTCATTTGCTTTATCAAAGACAAAAGTAAAAAACTAAACTACCCGAAAACTTTGTATATATATCACAATAATTGAATTTTATAACCGGTGTTCTCAAATTGTACTATACAAAACGAACGGAACTTACCTATATATTTATAAGGTTTTTGTAACTTTGTTAGCTGGCTCAAGCAAGACTCCACCACTGCCGATGTCCACTGATTAACTTTATTATGTTGATAGGCCGTGCCTCCGATGGAATTTTCAATGGCTTCTTTTATAATTTTACTCACATCGTCAACGATGAATTGATTCTGAAACACGTCATGTCAGCAGAATAACAATCAATACTCACTTTCTCTACCTACCAAACTTAAATAATTTTAACTTACCTCCTCTGTCAAATCACTACATTCTTTAACTTCCATGATTTAATAATGTGTTGTTGTGTGTAATAAAATATTTGGATACTATAAAAACAACAAAATTTCACGCCACAGGAAGAAATCAAACTTCTAAATAGTTTTTGCTTGACATTTGGTTTTGTTTGGCAAAGACAGATTAAGTAAAAGTGTCTATGGTAACAAGACTTGGCTTGGCTTTTCATTGTTATTTTTTTATAAACAATTCGTAGTCTCTTAATCATCGTGTTATTTAAAATCACTCTTTTGAAACATTTCTACCAATAGGTACGTAGTCTTAACCAAATTAAATGTTATTTTCAAGTTGAATAAATATTTTATAAATCGATTTCTTACTTAAAATTTTGCAACTTGTAACACCATTGGTAACTTTCATTTTGAGGTTGTCATTTTCGTACGAGTTGAATAATGGATATTTTCATAATAAATTGGCATTAATGGCTTCATCCGTTCATAATAACAGGTTGTCTTCCCCAAGATCTTTTGGGTGTTGCAGGACTTGCAACATGTGGTGTTGGAGAGCTTTTAAGTGGCTCCCTGTAATTTTGGTGGTGTCGATCATAACTTGGTCTTACTATGCCTACGTTATCCAATTGTGCATTTGTAAGTCATTTATTAACTAATAATAATTTAAGAAATCTTTAAATAATTTTCTTAAATTACAATATTATTTTATTTTTCAGTTACACTTGAGAGTACCGTTCAAAAAACTATATATCTCCTAGTTTATCACATTCTTCTGATAATGTTTTGCTGGTCGTATTGGCGGACGATTTTTGCTGATATCAAACAGATTCCCGAAAAAGTGAGTATAATATTAAGCCACAAACACACTTGTTTTTTTTGCAACAAAATGAAGTTTTTCTTTGTCAGTAAATTGTGTTCTGTTAATAAGTAACAATATGTATCCATGACCTGATTAATTGTTTGTGAATTTTTTATTGTCTTATATTTTTACCTTACTTATTATTTTTAAATCTAATATATATTTCTGTATAAGTGTTATAAATTTTGAGCTAGTTTAATCCTATAATGTTTTTGTTTTAAAAATATTTACCCTCTTATGTTCAAAGCGTATTACTCTTTTGATCTCATTATTGCCATAAAATTTCAAATTTCGTCCTTTTTAAAATATCCTAATTTTTACTTCTACTAAGCATTATGATTACATTAACTCATTTGAGATCATTTACATAGTTTATTATTACATCAAAAGGCATTATCAAGTCATTATAATACAACAATCAACAATATGCAAATTGTCCATTTGCACATTATTTTTAATGACTACTTCTCACCTATTTTATCATTTTGTAGTAATTTAGTGGAGTTGTCACAATATTTCATTTACTTACAAACATTTTGCTTATTTAATTGACTATCAATTGATATTTTATGAAATTTCCAGTACAAATTACCTCCTGAAGATTTGGAGAAATTGCTCAGTGCTGAATCAGAAGATGCTCAAAGGACATTCTTGGATAATTTTGCCAAAGATCTACCTATAGTTACTCGGTAATAAACAAAAACATTTTTTTTTAATTTTATTGATCTATGTTCAAGAAAATAGGAAGTAATGTAAGAATTAGTATTGGGTTTTTTAATAGTTTTTATGGGATTTTCAGTTAATTAACACAGCAAAGTTTTTCAAGTGATTATCGCTGGTGCTTTGTATGTTGGTAGTTGTTTTAATGTGTCAGAGTATTTGCAGAACAATGTCTGGGTCGGTGCGTTACTGCAACCGTTGTGTGCTGGTGAAGCCGGACCGAGCGCACCATTGCAGCATATGTGCCCGTTGCGTTCTCAAGATGGATCACCACTGCCCGTGGGTCAACAACTGTGTCTGCTTCCACAATTACAAGTTCTTCATGCTCTTCCTCGGTTATGCTCTCATCTACTGTCTATTCATCATGTTAACGTGCCTGCCTTACTTCATTAAGTTCTGGAAGGTAGACCACTTTAATCTTACTTATTTCTTTAACTCTTTGTACTTTTTTATTCCTTACTAGATAGTTTAGGAATGCGAATGGATTGTTTCTTATATGATAGTCCAATTGAACCACTGTGGTTTATTTAGCATTATTTTGTATTAAGGTTTTGCAATTTGGTACTGTATTTAAAAAAAAATTAAGAACTGACTATGATGGGTGGCGCCGAGCTCTCCCCTAGAGTACCTAAGATTTGAGAAATAAAAAAGAAAAACCGACTCAAATATGGATCATATTAATGAGGCCTCTTCCCCCTAAAACTGGCCTAGTGATCTAGTGTGCCTAGACTTTCTGGGGATGCCTATGTTGTATTATAAATAAACTATGTTAACACATTCTCATCAAAATAAAGTTAAAACACCATTACAAGAATTGTTTGGAACTTAGCTAAATAAGGGAATCTCCTTTTTTGCAGGTTTTTAAATAAAACGTAATTACGGTAGTTTAAAGTTTTAACCAAACTATAACAAACTATGGATTTACATACTTGCGTGACGTCATATTACAGGCAAACTGTGACAAGGTTCTGATAACGTACATTCTGATGATATCATTGTTTTAACCTATCATTATTAATCATAATTTAAATTTGATTCGCATATAATTATTTCTATGCTGAAGGGATTGTCAAATTTTGTTTGAATTTTTTTTAACAATGCATACACCATAACATGTGACCTTGTTTAATTTGCAACCAATTATATTGCTATTACAGTCAGCGATGAAATTACGCTTTCATTGGTCTAAGTTCTAAGCAGGTATACTGTATATCTAGTAATAAAAAACTCAGATTTAATGTTATTTAAATAAATATTATGAGGATTTCGTTCAAGTTTCTTTGATAATGCACAGCCTTTGTTTTTGAAAAATATTGAATTTTGTATGAAATGTAGTCTTGTTCAATGAAGCATTTTAAAGTAATTGTTCGATGTGTATGGTAATACAGTTTCGCATATACGGGTTTGCGTAAGAAAATAATTTTACACCGTAAGGTATATGTAAATATCATAGGTTACTTTTATAACTTCAATGTTACGAAACATAAAATGCTCTATAAATCGTATTATCAAAGTGAATACGATTTCCTTGCTTTTGATATTCGGATCCTTTAATATACCATAAAGTTAACGCTAAATATATAGTCTAAGGCAACCCAAGTACTAAAAAAATGTAGAACTATTTATTCATTGAAAAGACTTTTGTAAATATAAACCACTAGCTGTTGCTCTTTACTTCGTCCCCGTGAAATTGAGAATTAAAAAAAATATATTGTCTATGTTACTCACAGATATATTACCTTTCTAATGGTGAAAGAATTTTTCAAATCGGCCAGTAGTTTTTACGTGAATCGAATACATACAAATATCTAAATGTTTCCTCTTTGTAATATTAGTATATAAATCTTAAGTCTTATTAGTTAGATACTAAACATTTGGTATGCAGTCTTTAAAACTAAAAATTATGTAAAAGTCACAATTTTTTAGTTTTCAGACGTTGTCGCCTGAAGTGGCAATACGTCAGTAGCGACAATGTTATTTGCAATTTAAGTGCTGTTTTATATGCAGTCGGTCGCTTGAAGCTATAAGAAAACCTTGATGCATGATATTGATTTTTATGTACATATTTTGATTTTGCACCTAGTTTTTTTAGCTGTAGGCATAATCTATATCAAACATACATTAATGTTGATTTGAAGGTGTTTTAAGTTCACTGTTAGTTTAAGGAAATTACAAAAAAAAACTTACAAACGAATTGAGTGCCTCCTTCTTTTGAGAAGTCGGTCAAAAAATGAACATCTACGTTACGTATTACATTTATTATAGGTAAATACTCTTCAGATTTTTCACTAATACAAACAAATTGAAAATCTTGTATAATTTATCTTTGTGTGTTAATAGAGAAATTGCGTACGTGGGTGAAAGTGCAGGAAATTGTAGAGCCTTAAAAAATATCGTGTTCTACATTTTAACTATCTAACACTATTGTTATAACACTTGTTAAATTATCATTCGGATTTTTTAAAAATTATGATTTTTTACAATTTCCGCTTCCTCCGCGTCCGCTTTCTTGCATCCCCTATGTTAAAATGATGTGTCGCAACTGTCCACAGATGTATCAGAAATACAAGCATGCCCACTGCGATCGTTTGATTGAGAATGGCACATATACTAAACCTTGCATGGACATGATTACCGTAAACAATTTTTTCTTACACTTCATATACTTTAGAGTTGTGCTTTAGCGATAATTTAATTGTAAACAATTAGTATCGGGTCATGTTTTATCAATTAATTACTCATAGTAGATAACGTATTGTATTATAAATATTGGTATAAAACCTTTTTTCTTATATAAGCTTTAAGTATACTAGATATCGCGTATAAAATGTTATGAGCTTTTTTTGTTAAAGTTTGAAAATTAGCTGCATATTTTTCTTTTTTTCATTGTCATGTTTGAAGTATAAAGAGTAGTCCTCCGGTTTCTAAGTGAACATTTTCATAATAATAGGAATAAAAAGTTTAATTATGCGATGTATTTTGGTATTTTAATAATTGAATTGTCGAATGCAATCATCAGATCTCTTTATTAGTTCCTGATCAGTGTTTAAATTCTACATCTTTATTATATTAGTGTAGAGTCTATTGTAACATTCTTGTTACTTTATAGCTGTATTTTATCGGTATGATAACAATGCTATATTTATTGATCTTTGGTCTACGCAATCTTTGCATATGGTATTTATTTCCGTTCTTATTTATTACTGGCAACATTGTGTATAACTTTAGTAAGTCTTCATGTTATGTTTGGCTGTATATAATAAATTGATTCCATTAGTATTTCAATTTTAGATAAATACTATTACTTTTAGTGATTTGATTAATCTATAGATATTTTGTTTTTCGTCGCGTTATTTGGCTTTTTATACGCAAATTTTTACGATCTCATAGTTTTAACTAAGGACAAAAGGCGGCAATGCGTTCAACCTCAGTTTCAATATTCTCGGTATCTTACGTAAAAATAGCAATAAAATAGATTAGATTAACGTAGTAGATAGTAAGTAATGCGTGATGTATGGATAGATAAGAATTTATGAAAAATGCTTTTCGTTAATCCATTCCTAATGTATAAATCCATGATATTTTTCACGCAAACTTTTAGTCCCAATAATAATTCGTCTAATAAGGATACATTTTACCATAATTAATGTTATCCTCTATCGTTATTATTTTAACGAATTTAAAATCAACATTTTTACCTAGTTGCTTTAAAAATTTTAAAAGAAAGGTCAACTACAATTAACTAAACAAACAGTGTTAACAAAGATGTTAGATGGCCCTATTCATGGGTGGGAAAAAACGATGTCATAGGCCTTGTTCTCTATATCCTTTAGCGTCCTATAAAAATCTCCTTGCCACGTTCTAGAATGTTCAAAATTACGTTCTGCGCACCGTCTAATGTAAATTGCCAGTCGTCATGTTTGACATTAACAATGTGTTTTCCTCCAGCATCTCATCTCCATCTTGTTTTGTTATCGGGAACGGATGTTGATCGAATACTGAAGATTTACAGCTTACGTCTGATCCCTGACTGCCCCTAATTTGTAATTCAAATTTCATGCAATATCGAACGATATTAGCATGTTTACTTTGCATGCGTCTTTCAGTCCCTCAAACTGCGTCAGGCAAATCTGAATTATGTTTTAATATGAGGACAAACGGTCAAATGGGTCACCTTATGTTAAACCATCGTATAACCAATTGCAACACTAAAGAAAATTCTAGATTTATAGAAGATATTGTTAGAATTCTTTATGTTATACTAGCATTCGTCCGCGACTCCGTCCTCGTGGAATTAAAAAACACCAAAGTGAGTAGCCTATGTGTTCTTCCAGACTATCGCCTTTGTCTATGCCATATTTCATCGAGATCCGTTCAGCAGTAAGCTACAAATTCTAACAAACCTCTATCCATCCATCTAAACTTTCGCATTTATAATATTAGTAATATTACTATTCAGATTGTAATAGGGGTGCAGTTTGGATTGTTGCCTTTTTTCATCTGTTACTTAACATATATTTCTGTACGTTCAGGGCGACTTCGGTACATCGGCTAGCTCTGGTCGTTACCATGTGGTGTTTGCGTTCTTCGTGGCCCTCATGTTTGCGACCACGCTTGGCTCGCTCTTCGGATATCATTGCTACCTAGTAGCACATAATAGGACTACGTTGGGTAAGTTTTCCTTCTGTTTTATAGTAATTAGTATGTACGTCTTTGGACGATTTTTTCACCAATTAACAAGAGCCTAATGCAGTTTTTACGGGTACGTTTAATTGTAATTTGCAGTCAACGACTTCACCGATTTATGTCATTTGATTTGTGTTTTTCTCAAAGTGTAATGTGGGTATGCGCGGTTCACACTTAGCCAGTACAGCTGGTCAGTAACGTTAAATAACTGGACTGTCAATCATCTGGCACAATGTGAAGGCTAACTGGCGCCAGTGAATCCGTATAATATATGACTGGCCATCGTAACTGTCCAACTGTACTGGCCAAGTGTGAACCGAGCATTAATTTAATCGTTTTTTGCATTTGGGATTCCGGTGTCGATGTTACTAATCTGTCTTTATAATTGTAATTTGTCCTTTTTCAATATAATTAGTTTGAGAATCAGTTTGTTGACATATTCTTATGATAGTCAGCCAATCATTGTATCGTTAAAATAACTACATCTTTCCTAGCTTTCCAGATGTTTAGAATAGAATAATTCTTGCGCAATAGTCGCTTGTTTATATTCGCTTCATTGGTGACCTTGATTTCTATAGTTAGATATTTTTTATATGAATTCGCTTTTTAGAAGACAATTCCAAATTTGGAACGTTTCACACTTTTAGTATGAATTTCTTACGGTGTTGTATACTTTTGAATGTTGGAAAAAAATGCATGTAAGAACGTTTCACCAAAACCAGCATCTGTAATTAAACAAAGTATTGGATAATTGGCAGTTAGCATTTACGTATTTACGTTATTTAACTACTAGCTTTCGCCCGTGATTTCGTCCGCGTGGAATTTAAAAAAAAAACAAAAGTGAGTAGACTATATGTTCTTCCATATTATCCTCTACGTCTATACTAAATTTCATGGAAATCCGTTCAGCCGCTTAGGCTACATACTCTAACAAACATCCATCCATCCATCTAAACTTTCGCATTTATAATATTAGTATGAAGTATGATTATAAACCATATAGATATCGATACGTTTTGTCGCAAATGTGAAATGAGTTTTATTTTGATAAAATCTGAGTTTTAAATAACCAAGATCCAAATAAACTAGCGCATGATGTGACCACATTTACTGCAATTTAAAGGAAAAAATGTTGATAACCGAAATTGGGATTTTTATTTCAGATGTGATATTAGCTCGGCTTGGACGAGACCGTCCTTCTAGAAAGATCATAAGCAATTTTATTACCGCAATGATTGATGGTAAATGTGGTCACATATTGAAATATTGAGAAAAAAAATCTAGTTTTGTACTTGACATTTATATTGTACACATAAAGAATAGATTATACATAAAGTTGTAATAGATTTATTTGAAAAATAGGATAATGAAAGATATTTTATTTAGGAGTATTCAAAATTTTAGATAGTAATTTTGATAATACTTTAGTTAATACCTTTAGACGATTATCCTCACTAATTTTCATTATAGGTCTATGTATTTGTAAATGTAATTTTAGTATTCATACATACATCTTACTTCTTACTTCTTACTAATATTTATAAATGCGAAAGTTTAGATGGATGGATGGATAGATGGATGTTTATTAGCGTTTGGAGCCTAAACAGCTGAACGGATCACCATGAAATTTGGCACAGGTTTAGAGCATAGTCTGGAAGAACACATAGGCTACTTTTTATCTCTGGAATAGTTACGGTTCCCGTGGGATTCATTAATTTAGGTTTTTAATGTTTACTCGATCATTCTGCAACGGTTCAACATATCTTATTGAAATTTGGCACAGATATAAAAGAAAGTCTGGAGTACACATGGGATAAGCTTCATCCCCGAGAAATGTCCGGTTCCCGAGGGATACGTAGCTTTTTGTAATTTGTATAGTTTGTATGTTTTCTAATACCACGCGTACAAGGTCGTGGGTAACAGCTCGTTCATACACACAAACTAAAATTCAATTCAAAATTTTTGCCCTGCGTTTGTTATTTTCAATATCGACAGTTATTTATTTCCGATTATTGTCAAAATTCTATAATAATAAGTATTTCTGATATGGCAGAAGAAATTATTTAATTTCCTTAAAAAAATATCTTATAAGTTATGTTTTAACCTTACAGAAGCGTTCCGAGCCCCCATGTTCCGAGGGGGTACTGACAAGAACGGCTTCTCTATTGGTGCTTTCAACAATTTCAAAGAGGTATTCGGGAATAGCCCGAATCTTTGGATGTTGCCTGTCTTCACAAGGTAAAAAGAGCTTTTTTTATATCTTCAGTTAATACCCATGTCTTATTTAACTCTGATGACCATCTTTGTATAAACTCTGGGACAGACGTAGATTTTTAAGACAAAAAGGGACATACCATTAAGATGAAAATTTTCATACGCAAATAACTAAAAATACCTACAATGATTCAAAAGTAATTTTAACTTCTCCTTTGTTGGTTTTTGACTTTAAGAATTTATGTTTCAGAAGTTATGTGCCCTATACTTCCTACACCCATTTAATAAGTAAAATAAATCTGGTACATAATACAAAACTCATATAAATTATAAAGTGTGGCGCATGTATTTGATGCGTTGGGGTGTTTCATTTCCTTGTGCAAAATTACCAGTTTTTACATTTTTTTAATTGTGTGGCGTTCGATATGTCAAAAACAAACAAAACTTTTTAATCTTTACCTATGTTATAAATAAACTACGCAATTTGAATTTTTTTAATGTTTTTTTTAATTGACTTCATAATTGGCAAATCGAACGCATTATCCTGTGTTACCCGCATGCGTTAATTATTTGGATAAATGTGTACCCGTTTTTTAGCAATTTTTGATACAATAAAAGTTTTCCTGACGCATGTCAACTAACGTCGCGAAAAAGAAGTGAATGACATTCTTCTAACATGACACCTTTGTGCGTTGGATTTAACAATACCATCGGATTTTCAAATATATTGAAACTAACTGAGATATTAATGATTGTTTTAGAAACTCCTAGATTTTAAAAATCATTATCTTCGATCATTTGCATATTATTATGGTTTATGTTTTATAATAGTGTTTTTATAATTCCATATATATGTATGTTTTAACATTATGAAACGGTGGATTTTGCTTGGCACTCGATAACAATGTTATACTGCACTAAACATATTCATTAATGTTTATTATTACATATTTTATTTATTAACATACAAAACGCCCACACATATTGTGCATTACATATGATACCTAATATCGAAAAACTAATACTTTAACAGTGTTCAAATAAGTTTACATTCTAAAGACATTAAAAACTTAGGGTATGATCGTCATTTGGTATAATTGTACAAATCGCGGTGAGTTAGGATTCGTAGTCAAACAACCAGTCTCATGTGTTTGTGCACGCATAGTTTTTTTTTATAATATAAGATAGCAAACGAGCAAGCGGCCACCCAATCCACCGAAATGGAGAGCGACCGCTGCCCATAAACATCCACCATTGCAGATGCGTTGCCTACCCTTAATTGACGGAAGAGGAGACGCACATAAAGAGGACATTTCCCCTTCCTATGCGTCTCCTCCACCTTCCAATTCACTTTTCCTTCCCATCCTGTCCTTTTAAGAAAAGGTTGGAAAGGGAAAAGGACTAAAATTACGCCTCCGGCACCACACTCATCAGACGAAAGACGAAAACTCCCACTACATACGCGAGTTGAACACAGTTATAATATCAACGTTTTTTTCATGTTGAATCGACATTTTTTTTCTTCCATTAAACCAGTAACTAACACTAAAGAAATCGTCTAGCAATTCAATTTGATTTATTATTTAAAAGTAAAAATTCCCTATGATATTAAATGATTTTACCGTCGGTAGTACTAGTACGGTAGCCTGATATTAATCCTTGCTCCTATAGATATTCTACAAATAATATTGAGTAGTTAAACTCGCGAAAATTCGCCGCCATCGGTTTAACACGTTCATTGCCAAGACTGTATAGCTCTTAACTCAAATTCTGTTAGCAATTTGAACTTACGGATAATATATCTCCAAATATAACAGCGAATATCATGTATGTTTCAGTAGAATACTTAATTTAATTCAATGCTTGCGTACATATGATACAGAGTTGCTAAACCATAGACTGTTAGTGCTGTGTGGTTGACTATGGCCTAGTCACCCCTTACTTAGGGTAGGCTTCGAGCCCCTCGGTGGGGACTATAGTGAGCTGATGATGTGATATTAATGCTAACAGTTAGGTTTCCGGTCAAGGTATTACACAAATGTCGCGTCGTCACATGTCGGTATAATTGGCAATGAACGTGTTAAGAGCCGGTAATGGTTTTGCCAGCAACGGCGACGGGTGCGAATTCCCCGTGCGCCGCGAACACCAGCTGCAGACGTTCGCGCCGCAAGACGCCCATGGCTACGAGTCAATGGGCACAACTCGCTCCAGGTCAGAACTCAGCCATTGCCCGCACACGACCGACGCACACATACCTTGAGGACACGCCCCTTACACTACACAAATTTTATGTATACGTCTTCAAACCAGAATTTGTAAATTTAAGTTTTAGTTAGTAATAGTTAAATTTGAATAGTGCCAAACTATTGTTGTTATTTCAGTTTGAACATTCCTTTTATATGAATGCATGTTATTTAAATTCATAACTGAGCACCGAGTTACCGATTAGGTAGTCGATTTGAATAAAATGTTTTCCTGATAACGTTGAATAACTCGAATTTAAGGTAACTCATAGTTAATATGAGAATGAAATCATGCGAATATATGCTTTTACGTATGTTTACGAATAGAAAATTTATCGCATAATATATCTTTGAATGGCTGATATGATGTATGAATCATTTCAATACAATGTATAATCGATATTTCTAGTGTGTACAAATCCTTACTACAAACTTTTGTTTTAAACAATTTTTTTTATTTTCAACAATAATGGCTAAATCCTCAAGTTATGTGAGTGTCACACATTTTATAGTAATAAAATTTAATATGAACATATTTTTATAATAATTAATTTATATTATGAGGTTCGCTTTTGTACGCATTTATTTATTTACGAGCTATATACAACACACAAGACTGAAGCTAGACAATTCTATGTTCATAATTTGTAAGTATGATTTTGTGCGAAATAAACTTTTTTGTTGAATTGTTTTGTTTCTTTTATTTATTTTTTTAACAATGGCAACAAACGCTTTTTTCATCCTGGCAACACTGCGCTTTAATGTCAGAAGCGCAACGAATATGCTTAGCATTTAAACTAGATTTTTTTTGTTTATTTACTATGCAGTAGCAGGCAAATGGATATGTTTTTTTTATAATCAATTTATTCTATTCTTATGAAGGGTTGTGTGATGTATTTATACATAAAGCTTACATTATCTTTTATTTTTGCTCTCAGTTGGCAAATTTAACAATTACTTATTTTATTAAAGCAAATCCTTTTTTAACATTAACAAGACAAGTATCTTTCTATTACAGCAAAAATATCTCTAAATTGAAATATGTAGTCTTTCATTTTTTTTACAGAATGTTTTTTTCTAAACTTAATCAAAATATTTGTTTTTTTTTTTCTTTAATAAACCAGCTGAGAGTACTTTTACTTTATAATTTAATTATATTTGACTTTTCACATTTCTGCCTTCTATGCACTCTCAGTCTTTCTCTATGTAAATATTAATTATTATGAAGACGTGTTTGTTTATTTTTTATGTAATAAAAATATATTTTTACTTGATTTTTTTTATTTCAATTATTTTGAACATTGTCGACACAAGCGATCTTCATAACGGCTTTATAATTAGCTTATTTATTTGTCGCAGTTGCATTGAGCTAAATCGTCGTAATGTAAGCGGCTAGAAATAATAAAATTTTCGAATTTCAAATATAAAAAATTTTTAGAAACGCGCAAAATTTTTTCCTAAATTAAGCGACAAACTTTTTCTTAGAAATGAGTCTTCCATCGTAATTTTCATAGGTTAGTGTTTTTATATTACGACGGTTTAAGAATCGACTGCGATAATCACTTTATTCAAAATTCCTATAACAAATTTGGGGCGTATTGAGATCATAGTTTTGTTAACATTTTAGCGTGGAGGGCGACCACGAGACTGAGCGGTGGAGACTTTGCCCCCGCAGGGCGCGCACCGCCCCGCAAATTGTATAAGGGTGTAATCACAATGACCAATTTTTTTTAATTATTAAAAATTACATTAAATAAAATTTTTTCTAACCTAAAAACAATGCTTTTCATTCATTGGCACCAAAATCACACGTCTGGAGTTTCGATTTCAAAATTTTAAGTCATTCACTTCTTTTTTAATATACCCGGATATTAAGAGATTTCTAGTGTCCTTTTGCATGCTAATTTATGTTATGCCCATTCGCGTAAAGTCACGATTTGTAGTCTGGTACGTAGAACTGTTTAAAATGACGTCATCGATCGCCATTTTGTAATCCTGAGCATACATCATTTAAAACATCTAAGGATGCGTTTAGTAAATGTACTAGGCAGTACAGTAGAATTTAGAAATTATTATCTACATTTTGATTTTACTGATAAAAAACATTGTCTGTTATTAATTTTATATTTCTTATGTATACATTTGAAGTTGTATTGCCTACTTTTCTCGTACGTTTTTCAATTGTGCATTGTACTCTACATGTGTACCAACCCTAAATATTTTCATAGCTTCCATCTAACAGTGAGCAGAAATCCTCGAGAGACACAAGTTCGTAAATTGATGAACAAGTTAGTTGAATTAAGAGAAATTCTCCAATGTATAAAGTCCTTATCTTTTTATTGATTTACTGAATAGAACGTAAGTGCCTTAATAACAGACTTTCTGAGGACTAAGTCAATTTATTTTTGATATCCACTTATTTAACAATCCAATGTTCATACGAAATTTTAAAAAGAAACACTCTTGCTTTTTAATATATTTCATTTTAAGCACATGCAACATTCACTTGTGCTACCATATTAACACCTAGTATAGCAACAACCAGAGACAATTTTATAAAGCATCAAACGCACGAATAGACTTAGTACCCACAAACAATTTTATAGAGCATCAAGAATGAATCATAGAGTTTGTAAGTCGATTGTATTTTGATGACATCTGTATAGCTATGGAGACGGGATCGTATATCCCCTGCCTCGGCCTGACGAAGACACGGAGTCGCTCCTGAGCTCAGAGCGTTGGGAGCGCTGGGGAGAGCGCGCGCGGCCCTTCGACGAACGCGAGAGTTCATCATACGACGAACTGTGAGCGCTGCCAACATCGGCAACGAAGGTTACGAATTATCGAAAACACTAACATCATGTCTTTTTAGCTTTTTATATGCTTCTTTCGTCATAATTGACTAATTACATGGAATGGATTGGATTATGTCAGGTGTACATATTTCATCTACTTTTAGAATGTTCTAGATCAGTCATTGATGTTGATGTAATTTAGATTTAAGTGACTAAATTAAAGCTAGCTAAGCTTATTTACGGTATTTCTATGACCTGATATCTATCATCTTAAATTATATGTTGCAAAATTGCCATAAGACATTGAATCTGTGTTTTCAGATATAATTGCCCTTCTAAACATAGTTTTATATCTAAAGTACAAGATAATGAAGTAGGTACAAGTCTTTTCAAATATCTCTTTACGCCCTCTATGCCTAAAATTGTGTTCTTTAAAGCGACAAGTGCGATTTTCTGAGACAGATATATATCTATGACAACTACTGTAATACATAAGGCTTCACATTCATCTTTTCGTGGAAAATCGTATTAAAAATATGTATTTAAAAAATTTTTATGGAACATTATTTTTCCCGAAATTTAATTGTATTCATATAAGAATTTTTCCATGAATAGAAGTAAATTTTATGTGTCTAGAAGAAAGGTATAATTGCTTTTGCTTCTATTTCTAAATTTTTCTTAGTTTAGATATTTTCTATAAATTACAAAGCAAATGTAAAACTACAAAGGTACTGCGTTTGCAAATTTTTTTGATACTTAAATTTATAAAAAATAAATTAGTGTAACAGTCTCTTTAAGATGCTATTAATATAATAAAATATAAGTCTAAAATAATAACATTATGTATGTAAAAATCTTTCGTCTGCCGTGACACTTGACTCTATCTCTTATCCCTTTCATTCTCTTTGAAAGAAACAGAGACACCTATATATGTGATCAAGTGTCATCGCAGAGAAATTTTATTCTAAGATTGTCTTAAATATTGACTCTAAATTCCAAATTTCTATATTCCATATTTTATTTTAGAAACTAATTTTATATATTATTAGTAGCGAGTATGTAAATATTTTTCAATTTTATTCGATCCTTTTTATAAAAAAATTACTTTAAAAAATGTATAGGTTTCAAAAAATGAACAAGGTTATTTTTTTCAATATTTTAACCCATAAAACTAGTCAATAGTGTTACAAAGTGTATTTTAAAGCGAACAAGATCTTTATATAAATAAAAGTGGGCTCGACAACTCAAGACTTTATTTTAATTACTTAGCCTTAATTACTTTTTTCTGTATTTACTTAATAGAAAACGATATTATGACATGACACAAAAATATGAAAATTTTACATGTAATGGCGTAAATTTTTATTTTTAAATTATTTGTAGTTCTTGTTCGCTGCGTTATCAAAATTTTATAAACAATTTATTTAAATATTAATTCCATAATAAAGCATTTATTAATTTTACGGTTACATGCGAAGATATTTTTTTGTTTTTTTTTTTCTCTATTTGTATTCCTATTTTATAAGATGTTTAATTTTGAAAAAACCCTCTGTATTTGCAATGTGTGATATCCCTAATGTTGAGTTATTTTGTATTTTTATATGATTATTTGACGCTTGTAAGTTTTTTTTCAGGTGTGCTGATTTCTTAGAAGCGACTATGTTTTAGTATTTTGTAATTTAGGTGCGCGATGAAACGCAAATTTAATGGAATTTGATAAATGTTTGAATTAGTGAAATAAAATAACTCTTTTATAATAAAATGTTTATTAATACTTATTAAAAAAATTGGTGGGGATACATGGCGAATTACATTGATAAAATCACAGAATCACTTTTTTATTATAGGAAAAGCGGGCAACCGGCAGCAGATCGCTTATTTAATCATAAAATGACATATAAAACTAACTTTTTCACGAATTCTAATAAAATTACTCATAAGAGAACACTAATAATTTAAATCCTATATTTTCATTGATAATTTATGAATCAGCTATTTTTTTTTAACAGAAATATTAAGATATTAGCCTAGTTGCCTTAGTTTTAATAAATGTTGGTAAAAAAAATCTAAATACTATAATATTAAGAACATTGGAACTCAAGAACTATAACACACTTAATATTAAAAGTAAATCAAACACTTATAAATCAATAAAAAAAAAAAGTGATCGTAATATTTCTAACAAACTTAATATCTAAAATCACAAGCAGTTACAAAGAGTTACACTCTTAAAAATATTCGAGAATTGAACATTAAACAAGACATGGTTTGTAACTTATATGACAATTCAATTGTCGTTTAAGAAAACAATAATTTTGTATTGTGGTGTTTCAGAAACAAAGAGTAAGTGACATTACCTTTTAAAACTTAAGTATTAAAATTCCACGAAAATCATCCTTAACTATACAATAAAAGTGAACTTTTTCATTAATGAAACGAATAAAAGCAAAGAAAAAACATTAATTGTTGTAACACTACACTTAGAACTTTATGCCTGTTCACACTTGGCCAGTACAGTTGGACAAAATAACTGGCCTGGCATTAAAACAACAGGACTCTAATTGACAAAGTGTTTATGAAATAGTGACAATAAAATCATATCTATACTAATATTATAAAGAGTAAAGATTTGTATTATTGTATGTATTTGATTTACAAAAAACTATTGGACTGATTTGAAAAAATATTTCATCATTAAAAAGCTACGTTATCAGAGAGTAACATAAGCTATATTTTTTTTTTTCACGTAAGCGAAGTGGTAATAACTTATTAAAACTTTCGTGAGACATTATACTAAATAAATTATAACACGGCTGATCTCGATTGATCACTCACTCTGAAGAAGCCCCCATCGAAACTGTCGGTGCCTACCGAAGGTTGTCACGTGAGTGTAGCCGTGTTATAACTTACATAACAGGTAGTAATTTATATAGTCAATGAGGATAACAAATCTCTCAATTTGTTCGCATCAGTATTGTTGAATATATCTCTGAGTGCTCTGGCGCAGTGCGCCTCTCTCTCCAGTGCGAGTGCGACGGCGCGCGCGCGCCGCGTCACCGCGCGCGGCACGCCGGCCAGCCGCGCCGCGTTGAACCCGTACGACTTCGGACACGCGCCCGGAGACAACTTGTATAGGAACGTTATACTCTCTTCTGGGATATCGTCCGTCTCATTTGTATCTTCTGTTTCTACCATACACGCCTGAAAAGGGAAAAAAATGAATTTAATTATTCTTTATCATACTATTTTAATGTTTATATGGATCGATAGATGATTGATTGATGACTTGTCTAAAGTCTTGAGTTCAAATTGCCATATATCAATTTAAATTACAAATGTACATTTAAGTGGGATGTGTGAGTGCGTGTTTCCGAACGAATGTAAGTTGTTTCAAAACGATGCGTAGAGTGCGGGCAGGTGGGCGACGTAGCGCACGAGGGCGTGGTAGTGCGTGCTGAAGAGGCAGCGGCAGGCGCTCTGTAAG